AAAAAAAAAAAAAAAAAAAAAAAAAGACTATTTGAACTTAAAGGCTGAACTTCTAATAAAGAGCTTCCATTTGAAACGGTCAATGTTCTGAAAGAAATGCAAACAAGGCCAAGCCCTACAAATCAAGCCCATGTCAAGTTTTAAACTTAAAATGTGAAGTTATTAGTAAGGTTTTCACTCTTTAATATTTACCTCTGGTAATGACACTATTGGTTCAAAATGGATATCTTCATTATGAACTACCTCTTCATCACTACCATCTTCATCTTCTCCAACTTTACTGGTTGACTGTGCTCCGAACACAGCTGCTCCAGTGTTTGCCCACTGGAAATTTTTATCTGATGAATAAATTAGGATACTTAAACAGTGGTATCTATTTTAATAAGCTCTTAATCCCAGTTAGATTACTTTATGAATGAATCTAATTTCCAATGATGTAACATACTTCTAATAAAAATGTTTAAACTTGTACTATTCTGGCAGATTAAACTCATGTGGTGAGTACACAGGACTTTTAGTAACATTTATGTCTAGATATACAGATAGGGTCTAGGATCATCTGAGCCTCAGGTCTTCATGATACTGAACTACAGAAGAACTTTCAGTAATGAAGCAGGTTCTTAATTAAAAGTATATACTTTGAAACTCTGAAAACCCAGCTCAGCTCCAAAGGTAGTTCATTTCATAAAACATTCTATCACATGAAAAATATAACTTTTGAACCTAAAAATGTTCTCAAAGAAGCCAAATCTGCTACTTCCATATTAGCCGAAGCAGACTAAACATGTTTATAACTTCTCTACCTCAACTTCCTCCTAAGGTAACTAGAGCTGGAGCTTAAACTTCGTGGCCAGGTGGCACTGCAGCCTTGGGAGAAGCTGACCCCCACTGTCTTCAAGCAATACTAGGCTTAACTTAGTTAAGGGGTGAAAAGGCTCCCCACTCCCACGCAGAGGAACAAAGACTTTTACTCCCCCTCACAGGGAGAAGGTGAAAACTAAAAGCTGCTTCATCCGCATCTCGAATGTGAGGACCCAGCCTGCTAATACATTCCCCACTATCCTAGAGGAAAGAAACCTCTCAACTCTTCATCACTTGCTGACAAAATCACTGCTCTCTAAACCTACATCTGATGCAAAAACTCAGGAGAAGGCAAAAATGTCACGGATCAGTTAAAAACAGCACCCTGAAGAAAGAACAAAATTAGTGTCTAAAGCAGTAACTCCTAAGTGAGGTTTAATGGGGAGAAAAAAACAGGAAAAAAGAAAAAAATTATTAAGAAGATACAGCAAAAGAATGCTCTGAAACAAGAAGAGCACAATCTCAGGTTGTGTGGGGGGCTTCCTGAGAACAGTAACCACAGATCTACATGATACACAGGCGTAGGGCTCAAAAATAACTGGCTCAGGAACTCCCAAGCAGAAAAAAATTTTAAATTACCCCAATACCCTGAGAGGTATGGCAGAAAGTCTCAAAATTCCTCTGAAGCAATGGTTCTTAACACTGGGTGCATATTAAAATCACACCAACAGCTTCTGTAAAATACCAGTGCCTGGGCCGCAGGCCCAAAGAGCCCAACATAACTATCAGGTGTTTCTTTTTTCTTTAAAAAGCTCCCAAGAAATTCTAATATGAAGCCAAGAGTTGAAAACCACTGTTCTAAAGGGACAGGAGAAAGAACTTATACAGTAAGAGTATAAAGATGTGCACATCAGTAATATCAACTTAACAACAACTGTGTTCTAGATAATAGTACCTAGGAAGCTTCCACTCTGAGTCCGGGTTTAATGAAAACATTACAGAATCTCAAGGAAATAAGATAAAACGTCAAATCACGGACAAAGGGGAGCAGCAGATAAACATGTGTTCCTTGTGTTCTCTTAGTTTCCATATGAAATATTACACAAAAGACAGGGAGTGACTGACAGACCTGCCTGTGAAGAGGACTTTCAGGAGAAGACAGGAAAAAAAAGGAACAAAAGAAAACATGAAACAAAAATAAAATGAACAGATGAAGAAAAAGTAATCACCACAGAAATAACACATAACAGAAGAGGAGGAAAGGATTAAAAAAAAAAAGACTCCTCGTAGCTTAAAACCAACCAAAACAAAAAGTTTAAGATCAAAAAGGTCCACACAATGCCAGAAATAAGTTTAAAAAACAAAAAAACATTCTGGTGAAACTGATTACCTTAAAAAAAAAAAATTAAATCCCACAAGCTCTTAATCAAAGAAGGCAAGATGAAATTCTAAAATATTATAAAAACTTATAGTAGTGTGAAAATTCCCCATGAAAAGCTATGAAATTGATTCCAGGGGAATTTAGTTTCAAAATGCTATTCTGTGCTTACTAGCACAATCTAAATTAAATAAAGCAGGCATTTAACACGTAAGAAAACCAATGATAATTTAAAGGAAAGTAATGACAAAATCTGAAGATAAATAAAAAACATAAACAAAAGAACTGATAAAACCAAAAGCTACTTCTTTGAAAAGACAAAGCACAAATTCCTGTGAGATCTAAGAACAAAACAAGAAATGTAGTTTAAAAAAGAGCTTGGTAAATAATCTCATGGAAAAAGGAGTGAACGTCAGCAAATAATACTCAGGGCGAGCCTCCCACGTGGCATGAGTCTTGCCTACCTCACACTTCATTGTACAGTACTGATGGAGTACTTTGAAAAAGGTATACCAAGTATCAAGCAACCTAACACATCAATTTTTATTTGGCTTTTTATTTGTGGATAATTATACCTACTATACACTGTTGTATCTGTTGACCTATGACCCTGTGACTTCAGGCTACTTATTAATAAAAATAAAGCAACCTGACATCAGTGAAGCTATGAATTCCAACATAACGTAGCATCTGAAGGTAATTTCTAAAAGTTTTATATGTGTTTCCATAAATGACAGGAACTGTTCTGTTTTTTTTTTTTTGCTGATTGGCTAAACCCAGTGTTAGTGAAACAAGTAAAAATATGTGAGAGGGAATTCTGAATTAGATTATCATGTAAGTATGTATCTTCAACAAAATTTATTCGACAATTCAAGCATCTTGTTCAATTTAGGTGGTGCTATAATCAGATACATGTAAGCTACCTTAAGAATGAGAAAATATGCTAATTTTTTCAAGCTTCTGAAACAAGGAAAAGGATTATTTTCTACAAATGATACCCAAATGGACCAAAAATAGAAAAAAATCACTGGAAAAGGTGGGAAAGCTCACCAGTTACAAATGAGCACAACCCTTATATTAAAAAGCACAATCAAGGATATTGCAAAAATAAAAAACTGCAAAATCATCTCCTTAAAAATTACTGATGCACATATCTTGAAATATTAGTAAATCAAAAGTATAACTAAAAGAACAATGTGCCAATCCCAAGGTTATTCCAAAACTGGAGTGACGGTTCTGCATTTCAGGATGGGGAAGGCTAGCACCATGAGTTACAATGAATGACGAGAAAATTCTTATGGTTATATTAATAATAGCAAAAATAACAATAAAACAGAAGCCCTTCCTTTATTACAACACTAGACAGCTGGAGTGCAGGGCTGGGGAAACAAATGGCCAGGTGAGTGACAAAGGGCTTGCTCCCCCCAGGTGTGCATATTTCTGTAATACAATCATTAAAACCGCTCCTCCTGATCTTACCTTTGGACCCAAAAGCAAAATCCCCAGAATTACTGGAAGCCAAGTCTGCAAATGACAGCCCTGTGCTACTTCCAAATCCAAATGAAACTGTTTTGCTTTCCACTGGCAAAAGGAAAAGAGCAATTTAATATTTCATTTAATACATGTTGAACATCAAAGCTTTACTCAGGACCCAAAGAGAATGGGGGTAGGACCTGCTGTACTACTGAGAGGTATGGGGTGGGATGGGGTGTGGAACATTTATAATCTGGTTATCTCTCTGAAGAAAACTTATAAAAGACATCCAAGTTCTGAGCTTCTTCATTGTTATTACGTTTTCAGGTACTATTCTCAATGCAGAATATACCAAGAGCATACCCAAAATCATTTTTTAAAAATGAGATGTAGATTTATACTAAATCAGATAGAGAGCTATACAGTTTCTGCTTTACACAATCTAATGTAATCTAAAACATTCATTCAAAGGCAGGATTTCAGGAAATATCTAAAGATTTTTTATATTCTCAATTGTAAAAAATAAGCTCATAAAAGCGAAATATTTCATGCCCCTTTATAAATCTCAAATTTTGTTTTAAGAAAGGGAGTTTCTGGATTTGCATTTAAAAGTCTATCGTCTCAAAATCACAGGTGTACCTTATGTAGTAATGCATGCCTAGAAGGTTTTTATAAACATGTATCAAATTGTACCTTGGCTTGTAGAATCTGCATCATTTTCCTTTCTAGTACATAAATCCACAGGTTTATCGACAGCTTCAGAAGAAATAGGTGGTGAACTAATACATTTGGTAGTAAACTCTGGTTCTTCAGATTTACACAAAAATGGTAGAGTCACTTTACTGCCATCCGTACACACACTGTCAGCCGTGCTAGTTATGCCCTCATTCTGGGATTTCTGCAAAGAGGAAGTAACAAATAACTATGACATTAAGTACTGATTGACAAAAAGGATCATATACCCTATTTTAAAAGAAACCGAGGACTTGGAGTTCTGGACAAAATGGAGTAAGCACACTTTTCTCTCTCCCACTCCACCTTTCATCCTACCTCTCCCAGCACCTACAGCTGAATTGGACTGAAACAGATAAAGCGACTAGAAGAAGCCTCTGAAAAGTGGATGAAAGCAGAAGGATTAAAAATCTCAAGACATGGGACTTCCCTGGTGGCGCAGTGGTTAAGAATCCACCTGCCAATGCAGGGGACACGGGTTCGAGCCCTGGTCTGGGAAGATCCCACGTGCCACGGAGCAACTAAGCCCATGCACCACAACTACTGAGCCTGTGCTCTGGAGCCTGAGAGACACAACTGCTGAGCCCACATGCCACAACTACTGAGCCCACATGCCACAACTACTGAAGCCCTAGCGCCTAGAGCCTGTGCTCCGCAACAAGAGAAGCCACCGCAATGAGAAGCCTGCGTACCACAAGGAAGAGTAGCCCCTGCTCACTGCAACTAGAGAAAGCCCGTGCGCAGCAATAAAGACCCAACACAGCCAAAAAAAAAATATATATATGTATATATTTATATATGGCCCACTGGTGAGGAGCAATGGCTGAGATGTAGGTGGCAGCCAGGCCTGGTGATGAGACCACGGACAACTTGGCCTCCACGGGCCAGCCCGTCGGGGTCCCCGCACCACAGCCGGAACCCAAGGAGGTGCTGGCCTGAGCCATGTGCCCCCGTGCACACTGCTGGGGCGTGGGGGCACCTCCAGGCCACATGGCCCATCATCCACAGCTGCCTGCCCCCAGCCAATGAGGGCAGTCCCTGCCTCCTGGACACAACCTCCTCCCAAACCCCTGCGGCAACCATGGGTTCTGGAAATGGACTAGGCTGAGCCGACGAGGTCGTGCCTGGGCCCCTTTCCTGACCTGCTTCCTACCTGCCTACAGCGGGTGTCACAACAAGAAAGTACTAAACCTGGAGGAAGAGGGTTTCTGGCCAGAACTGCTGGATGGTGGCAAGAGATTTGAGATTTTTCTCTGACTGTCCCCCAGTTTTACAGAAAAAGAAAGCCCCTCACTATGGTAGATGGTCCCCAGGTGTAAAGACTACTGGAGAGACAGGCAAAGTGACCATCTGAAATTCTGGCCTTACCAAATTCACTTTCAATCAAGACACCACAAACTTCCCCCTTCCTAAGAGCCATCTCATTAGAAGATGTATTTATAGTAAACTTCTGTTTTTTACTTAGGAAAAAGAGAAAGAAAAAAGAACAAAAAAGACTCTCAAGACCTGAGAGGTAATCTTGGTGAGAACCCTGCGGGAAATTTTTCCTGCCCCCACCCACTAACCCACATCCCAGGCAGGGTACCAGAGCTGTCCAAAACTGCAGCTGCCGACGGCACAGATGGAAAAGGGTCCAAGAAAAGTCAACTGTCCTTGGCCGAGGGTGGGGAATGTCATGAAATGATCCGTGTGCTGAATGATCAGAAAAACTTTGAAAAGCTCTTCTAACAATGTTCCAAAAAAGGACAAATACTCTTAAGACAAATGAAAAGATAGGTGTCAGGCAAAAAAATATAAAGCACAAAAGAAAATCAAATGGGACTTCACAACTTAAAAATACAATAACAGAAATAAAAATATTTACAGAATGCTCCATCCAACTGCAGCAGTATACATGTTCCTCTCAAGCACGCATGAACATTTATGAAGAAAGACCACATTCTAGGCCATAAAACAAACTTCAGCAAGTTCAAAAGAACAGAAACCATACAAAGTATATTCTCAGTCCATAGTGGAATTAAACTAGAAATCACTAACAGAAATATAGCTGAAAAAGAATCTCCAAATATCTGGAGATTAAACAACACATTTTTAATACACATGTCAAAGTCTCTGGACACATTAAAAATACTATGAACTAAATAGAAGTGAAACTACAGCTTACCAAAATTTGTGGAATGCCAACAAAAGCAAGGAAGGGGAACTCTGTAGCACTAAATGCATATATTAAAAAGAAGATCTAAAATCGATAAACTTTCACCTTAAAAAACTAGAGAAAAAAGACCAGGATAAACGGAAGGCACAAAGAACTAAAGAAATAATGAAAAGCAGAGCAGAAATCAATAAAACAGAGAAAAATTAACAAGATAAAAAATGGATTCTTTGAAAAGGTCAATAAAATTTGATAAACCTCTAGTCAAGCTCACCAAGAAAACAAAATAGATGACATAAATGACTAATATCAGAAATGAAACAGGAGCTATCAACACTGATCCATGGACATTAAACGGGTAATAAATTTCAATGAACTTCACAAACACTGTTATGCCCACAAATTTGATAATGTAGAGGAAATGGACCAACCAATTCCTCAAAAGACACAACCTACCAAAACTGACATAAGAAATAGATAATATGAATGGGCCTATATTTATTAAAGAAAATGTACCATCAATTAATGTCCTTCCAAAAAAAAATAATGATAGTAAGTACCAGGCCCAGATGGTTTCAGTAGTAAATTCTATCAAACATTTAAGAAAGAAATATTACCAATTCCTACACTGTGTTCCAGGAAACAGAAGCAGAGGGAACACTCCCTAACAAAGTACGTGAAGCAAAAACTGATAGGAGAAAAACAAACATGCTCAGCAACACTCCTCTCAATAATCAATAGAACGAGCAGAAAAAAATTAGCAAGGATAGACTGGACTTGTACAACACAGTATCAACTGATTCGATCTATTTAGAAACCTGTTTTCCCTGCAGAAACAATAACGAATGAACTGTGGTACGTCCTCACAAGGGAATACCACCCAGTGACAGAAAGAAACACACTAACACTACACACAGTAACTGGGCCAAATCTCAAAGGCATTATGCTTTTGAGCATAATGAGTGAGTGTAAAAAGCTAGTATCAAAGGTTACACAAAGTATGATTCCATTCATGCTAGTCTGGGAAAGGCAAAAACGTAGAAACAGAAAACAGATCAGCAGTTACCAGAGGTTCCGAGCGGGGGAGGATCTGAACCGAAAGGGACAGTAGGAAGGAATTCTTTGGGCTGTTGGAACGGTTCTGTACACTGCCTGCCTGTGGTGGGGATTACAAGAATCCAGGCATGTGTAAGAACTCACAGAAAATACACACACAGGGAAAAGTGAATTTTCCTTATGTAAAATTTAAAAATTAATACAAATGAAAAAATCATTATTTCTTAATGACTGAAGCCCAAGAAAACAGTCCATTCTGTTCGTGTCAAATGATTTAGGCTAACACAGCAGTATTATTCATAATAGCCAAGAAGAAGAAACAACCCAAATGACCATCAACAGATGAACGGGTAAACAAAATGTGGTATGTTCATACACTGAAATATTATTCGGCCATAAAAGGAACGAAATACAGATAAATGCTACAATGTGGATATACCTCAAAAACTTACTAAGTAAAAGAAGACAGACACAAAGGACCACACATTATTATTTGTTTATATGAAATGTCAGAATAGGCAAATCTACAAAGTACATCATTGGTTATTCCAGGCCTAGAGAAGACGGGTGGAAATGGGGAAGGGTGGTGACTGCTAGAGGTTAACAGGGCTTCTTTTTGGGATGATGAAAATGTTCTAAAACTGACTGTGGTAAATATACGAAAACCAACTGAGTTGTACATTTTAAAATGGGTGAATCATATCACAATTAACGTTACCCAAAAAATGTAGGCTAGATTACTTGGGAGAGGGGAGTGCGTAATCCAGCGCCTAATACATTCGCCACCTAAGAGTCCATGAATGAACAACTCTTGTAGACAAATCAAATACCGTATCCCCAATGCTGAGCACAGTGCCAGCTCACACTAAGCACTTACACATACAGTACACTTAGGTGTTTTATGCAAGGGATGCCTATCTGAAGATCTCGCATAGTCCAAGATGAATCTGAGTGTAAAACAGGAAGGGTGCATCCTAAGAGGATGTATATCTACACCCATTACACAGCACATTTCAGCTTTAATGGTTGTTAGTTCTCTGTTTCGTCTCTGTGTATTAAAGGGTGCTCTCCAAAATTACAATTCATCTTGGCAATTTTTTTTCAACCCTTATAATGATTTATCACGTTTAATTTCTGTACCAAAGGTATTTCTGAACAGCTCTTAGGACCGCTATTTAATGAACATTATGAGAGTGTTACAGGATATTTTACAAAAAGATTTTAAGTTATAACAACGATAACACAATAGTCACTCAAATAAGCCATTTCAACGCCTATAAACAGCACAGTTCACAAAAAACTGACAGAAGGTACCAAGTCCTGTGTGCACCACAGGTGGGAAAAGAATAAACAATGTACAATTCAGTCGGTGCATCAGCATAGAGATTATTTTTCAGTGTTCTAAGTTTTGAAAAACATAAATTTTAAATAAATAATTATTTTTAAGTTTTGCACACAAAAGAGTGAGGCCAAATTTAAAATGCATTGTTTCAATTTGCATAACCCAACTTTATATTATGACTGTCCTGTATTTGCTGAATGAAAGACTGGATGCTAAAGCCTCCAGCAGGGAATTCCCTGGTGGTGCAGTGGTTAAGAATCTGCCTGCCAATGCAGGGGACAAGGGTTCGAGCCCTGGTCCGGGAAGATCCCACATGCTGCGGAGCAACTAAGCCCGTGCACCACAACTACGGAGCCTGCGCGCCCAGAGCCCAGGCTCCACAATGAGAAGCCACCGCAATGAGAAGCCCGCGCACCGCAATGAAGAGTAGCCCCCGCTCGCTGAAACTAGAGAAAGCCCGTGCGCAGCAATGAAGACCAAACGCAGCCAAAAAATTTTTTTTAATAAATATTTAAATAAATAAAGCCTCCAGCAGCAGCAATTAGAGAAGATGATTAAGAAATATTGCATATTGTGTACTTCCACTGAGTCCAGGGAAACTGCTGAGGGATTTAAAATATACTTCAGATTTAGTATAGCAAGGCCGCTGATGGAAAAACTTCAGATAGGGCTTCCACAAATCTACTTGGTTATAAAAAAGGAAGTAATGTCTTTACATTAGCTGATGGCCACTAGCTATACGTGCACTGATGAATAAGCTGAAGCCTGTGGAACAGGCGGCATATCCTAGGTGGACAGCTAAAAAAGCAGGCCACCTAGACTCCTCAGAGTCAGACAGACAGTAAAGGGTAGTAAGTCTCCTACAGACTCAGGCCACGTGTTGGGCCACGTTTCTCTCTACCCACGTATCCTTTAAATAAAACACTGCATTCGTAACTAACTCCAGGACTCTGTTTCATTTTAACCATCTTTCCAACAATTTTTAAAAAACAGTATTTCTTGAGAGGCAAGGAACCATTCTGAATATGTCAAAATTAAGACTGTAAACAATTACAAGACAGGGACCTTGTCTTCTAGTTTCTGTGGAATACAAATTAAGACACCAAGGTGTTGATAGCTACTAAAATGACTACACCTGAGCTAAGAAAGTAACCAAATCACAAAGTTATTGGCAAAGCAAGGTATACAGGTCAAGGGAACTAAGTTTCAAATGCTGCTATTTCCTATCCACCCTGCCCACTCCACAATCAGTTAACTTGCAGAGAAAATGAACTACGTAACACCGTTCTTTGCAGGGCGTAGACCTTCTTAGGGACATCTGCACCGCCATGCTGCTGCCCTGACTCCCCAAGCCCAGCACACGCACCGGTTGCAGGGGTGCCTCCGGTCCTCCGGGCAGAACACGAGTCCTCCCCTCCTCTGGCCAGAGTTGCCTGAGGTGTCCGACCGCTTGCCAGACACACCCTATTATTACCACGTGGTGAGGACCCTCTAGCTTATCGCGTCAACAGAGGCAACTGGGCCAGAAGGAGCACACAGAGACGGTCTTACTTGAGCTTCCTGAACTTTGTGAAGCTCCGATTGAAAGTCTTCCCCACTTCCATTGTCCTCATCAGTGTCACTGCAGACTCCACAAAAAAATGTAGGTGGAAGCTTTAACGTATCTGCTTTTGCCTTTTCTTCAACTGTTGGTTTCTTTTCCCAAACAATAATACATTCTTTCTCATTATCTGAAAATCCCATACAACACAAGGAAAAGCAAGTTAAGACGAAAGTAGATGAAGTCCAACTACTCCACAAACAATGGCCCTCAGTGTCATCTACAGATTATAGACCCAAATAACAAGACCCTGGATGCTGATGGAGAACCACCACCACCGGGAGCACAATGTTTTTCACTTCACGTTATTTTTAAATATTTAAAGTCACCAAGGCAAAACTGGTAATTACAGAGGTGACCAGATTGCAAGATTCCTTTTAAACAGAAAATTTTTAAAAAACATTGTAACTAGTAATTTTACTGTTACATACCTGTTAGATTTTCTTCTAACGGTCTACGTTTTTCTGAGTCATCCAAATACAGTTTTCCATTAAGCTTCTTGACAGCTGTGTCGAAATCTTCATCTTAAAGTATAATTTGATTAAATAAAAGAACTTCCAGTAAATTTCAGGAGATTTTCCAGCCAGGAATCTAGGAAAATTATCTCCAACTTCACACTTTCCCTTACTCCCCACATCCAAATAGCAACCAACTTTGCCTATTCCACACCCCGAACGCCTTGTCTGAGCTGCTCTGGCATTCTGGCTCCCCCTCCCATCTCCACTTCCCACAACCCAGTCCTCCACACCACTGCCCAACTGTCCGGCTGAGATTATTCTGAGCACGTAACTCCCCTGCTTGAAAACTTCGACAGGGCCCACAGAGCTTTCCCCAGTAAGACCCTGTCTCTGCCTCACAGTTCCCCCACCCCTCTGAGACCCCAGGGAAATGAGAATTGCTTTCAGTCCCCTCAAAATGCCTGCCCTGTTCACGGCAGCCACCCAGGGAATGCTAATAAATGAATGCAGCTCTTTCAGTCGTGACGTCCACTGACTGCTCACACATACATTTAGGCTCAATACCGGCCTGCAGGGCAGCAGGGGTGGGCTCCAGGAAGCAGGCTGAAAGCAATTTCATCACCCCACTCACTACGAGGACCGTGAGCAGAACGCTTTAAAGAAACAGGAGACTTACCGTCCTCCTCCTCTTCGCTGACGTAGTCTGGCCTGTTCTTGTAACAGAAGAAAGTGGGAGGAAGCTGAAGTTTGCTTGCAAGAGCTTTTTGCTCAGGGGTCGGGGTCAGCTCATACACAATGAGAACGTCGTCATCTGAGGGAAGATCTTCAGGCTTTTTCTTCTCTTCCACTGTAAGACAAATCAAAAAAATTGATAAAGACAAGGTGTTAAGTAATTAATTAATGTCAATATTCTAACTGAAAATAAAAATCATGGAACTTAATCAGCATGCTGATAAAAACACACAGACTTTGATTTGGACACAGCTCATAATAACCATGAATTAGAATTAGAAGCCCGAGGTAATGTTCTATCAAAAACCCTTAGAGGACACAGAATCTACTTAATAACCAAAAAAAAAAAAAAATCCTGCTTTTACTTACTGATCATTGAAAAAACTACTATTAACAGCTATAAATTAAAAAGGTATTTAAAAAGTGCAGCCACAATCATACTTGGAATACTAAATGGTTTAGCAAAATATCCATACATTTGCAATAACTGAAACATTAAAGAAGTCATAAGCAAAGATTAGTATAAATACAAAACTAAAGCAAAGCCAACTCGATGAGACCCTACAAGGAAAGTTAACAATTGCCAAGGATGGCGGGTGATTAAAATTACATCCAATTTTCTGTACTTCCAAGCATGATAATAGATAAAATTAAATTAAACCCGTGATCCTCTGGGTAAATAATCCTGTAGGAACCTAAGACAATTTCTATTAGCTGAAAGACCAAAAACAACAAAAAGGCAAAAGATGGAGAGAAAAGGAACTCTTCGTACAATATGTTCTGGTCTATAAAGAAGGATTTCTGGCTAAAGGAACTGATAAGAGTAAACAAACCATGAAGCATGCTCTGTACCAACTGGCACTGTCCAATATAGCCGCCTGACCACACTTGGCTATGAAGCACCTGCAGTGCAAGCAGTCCAAAGTGAGATGTGCTGCAGGTGTAAAAATACACACTGGGTTTTGAAGATTGATAAAAACAAACCAAAAAAACCCCACCAAAAACAAGGGGGAAAATATCTCATTATTAATTTTTTATACTGATTAGAAGTTGAAATCGTATTTTGGACATAATGAGTTAAGCTGAAGAGAGTAATAAAATAAATCTCATCTGTTTCTCTTTTTAGTTTTAAATGTGACTACTAGAAGCTTTTTGATTACACACAGGTTGCATTTTATTTCTACTGGATGATGCTGATCCAGAGAACAGCCCTTTTGCAATACTGAACTTGACTTTCACCCTCCTTTGTTACAAAAACATAGCATTAATTCCTAGCCAAGGACCACAAAAAGACACTGTGAGATAGAGATTCTTGTTTATCAGACAGCCTCAAGTCTTCATCTCTACAGTCCTTTGAAACCATGACATTCTCAGACTTGAAACAGAACAGGACTCTTTGTCCTGCAGCAGTATTTTGGTAAATTTGCTCTCAGACCAAGGACTCTTCACCTAGGGCCAACAGAGTCTGTGTACAAGTATGTACCCTTTATAGAAAAAAGTCCACACTATTCACATAATTTTTCAAAGAATGAATCCTTAAGAATAAAGGCTAAGAGCTGCTGTAGCCAGTAGTATGACTGGTGTACTTTAAAACTGAGGGTCCCAGAACTCACAGGTTGTCATGTGGTCATTGTAGTTGTTTGACAACTTGTAACCCAGCTGTGTTGCTCAAGATACATTATTAAACCCTAACAGTGATTTTTCCTCTCCACAACCTGCTCCTGACCATCTCTAACAGAGCCAGCTGCCAAGTACTCCATTACAGCACCAACGCTTTCTCCCACAAGTGGTCTGTACTACACCGGGAACACACCAGGATATAATGGTAGCTCTTATACGTGGGGCCTACTTTCAGACACAGCATCTTCCATGTCCAAAAAGAAAGCGCTAAAAGAAACACTCGGTTCCCTGTGGTACACACGCTGCTGCCATCACATTTGGACACTGGCAGACGATAAAGGTTAGGTAACATACAGGTCTTCATTAATCACAGTTGAAAACAGCATCTGATGTGCAAAACAGAGAAAGGGAAAGACCACACGGATCTACCTCAAAACAACGTTGTGGTAAAGCAATTATACCCCAATAAAGATGTTAAAAAAAACACAAAACGCTGTACAACATGTGAGAAAACATGACATCCAAGTACACGAGAGCAGCATTAAGGGGTCACGCCAGCATTCTGTCACATGCATGCTGCAGTGTTAAGCCCTTAACTGCACACAGCCAGTTACTCTGCTGAGGACCAGCAGCTGCTGAAAGACCGATGTCCTCTCACACTGCCAGTGCCAGCTCTGTACCTTTATTCTCAGGCTGGGAGGAAGGAGTGCTGCTCCAAAATGCCATTGGATTAGATTTAAAAAGGCTAAAATTAAATCCTAGAAAATAAAGAGTATTTCATTTTTGAATATATGGAGAATCAAAATGAATATAATTTTAAAATATAAAAGCCAGAGTCCATCCATTTACACCAATGTGGCCGTCTCACGTACCCATTTATCCCGAGGGCTTCATTCTTTGCTCATTTAACAAGTGGTGGCAAGACTGCCTTACATAAAATGTGAACATCTCAGTACCATGCTCTCTGAGTGACAAGAACATAAGGATAATAACCTGAAGAACGAACCTGCTCATGATTCATGCTCAAGGCCCTAAGCTGGACCCAGTCCTGAGCTGAGTCCTTGTGCTCTGCTCGGACAGATGCATCTCCCAGGAACCAACATCTCCTAAACAACTTATACACAAGCTCTCTGCTGCTGTTTGAACATTTGAACACTCACCAGTAAACTGCTTTAGGGAGGAAAAAATTCTGCACAAGTATTTTTTGGCTGTTCACAGAGCACTGTGTTTATGAGCCGACTTTTACTAAAACATTAGCCTGCTATAAAGAGTCCACACCAAGATAAACGTTAAAAAAAAAAAAAAAAAATGAGGGAGGAAGAGAGGGAGAGAGGGAGGGAGGGCGAGAGAGAAAAAAAGAAAGAAAGAAAAAGGAAGGAAGGAAGGGAGGGAGGGTGGAAGGAAGGAAAGAGACAAATTCTGCTTAATCTAAAGGCTAAGTGCTTACCCTTTTCTGGTGTTTTAAACGTGTGACTGGTTGAGGACTGCTCCTTTGGAAAAGCAGGAGAGGGGTTTTTGACTTTGCTGTCGGAAGACGGTGTGAGATCAGAGCTCTGCGACTCTTGGTGACCACCAGGCTCCGCTCTTTTTTCAGATCCACTCTGGGCTGCTGAACTGGCCTCACTACTGTTATTTTTCAAAGGTGCATTAAAACTAAATCCAAACAAAGACCCGGTAGCTGAACTGTTGCCAAATGCAAATGGTTTTGACTTTTCACTGCTAAAAATGCTTTTAACAGACTCAGAACCAAATACAAACTTTGGAGGTGAAACCACTGCTTTTGTTGTTGTTTCAGGTGTGCCAGACACCCCGCCAACTTCTGAGGTTGCACCTGCCACATCATCACCCTGTGCCGAATCCGTCCGTTCTCTGGTGGTTTCCTCTAGCACAGCTACTGCGACTTTGCCGCATGGTGACTCTCTGGGAGTAGTCGAACGAGAAACATGAGGTGTTATCAAAAAATCTTTTTCTTGGGCTAGTTTTGCTTCATCAAATATTTTCTTAAACGAGTCTGCAACATCCTGTAGTTTAAAACGGACAGCTAAATGCTCTACTTTTCTTTCTCCGTCTGCAAAATCACATGCGGTCCACACCCACACTCTTTCTGTCCCTTTCATATTTTGCAAAGTCATGTCTGGAGTTATTCTGTGGTTGGCACAAAGCTTTAATACCTGGTCCCTTCTCATCACTATGCGAACTTGCTTATTATCATAATTCTGTAAAATCTTTATGTCGCCAATGCCTCTCTCTTTCCACTGCCCAGCATCTTTATCATACCTGTAGAGTTTGGCTCTGTGACTGAAAACAACTTGTTCATTTTCCTCACCACTGGACACCTCGACTAGATCAGGCAAAGGGACGACAGGTTCGAAGTGCTGTCCATCTCTCTCCTCCTCCTGAGTGACATCAGAGTCTTCATCCGTGCCCACTGAGGCCCCACTCTGATTTAACTTGGCAGGAGACTTAGACGGGCTCAAAGCAGATTTAAAACTGAAGTTAAACCCGGTGGTTGACTCACCGAAGCGGAAGAGATTTTTCCTCACGGGGCTGCTGGCCAGCGGGGAGGCGTGCACTGAGCTGCTACTCACGCTGTCGTCCAGAGCGTCTTCCCTTAGGTCATAGCTGTCCCACTCGAGGGTGGGCCCGGCGGCCTCAGGACTTGGCATGCCACTCACGGCCGCAGCACTGGCAGCTCCTGCTCCTGAGCTCTTACTCTCTTCGTCAGTGACTTTTGCTTGATCATTTGTCAAAAACGTCTTGAAATCTTTTAATCCGCTCTTCATCTCTTCCGCCCTCTGGATTAGCTTGGCAGCTCTGCCAGTATCCACAAGCTTATGGGGAGTCTGCAGTGGAATATCTAACAGAAGTCGCTGGCATTCCTCAAATTTCTGTTTGAATTCTTCAGCCAGCTCGGGTGTTTTGAATTTTGCTGCCAGCTGCTCTAGTTTGGCATCGCCATCAGAAAAATCACTAGCCAACCACATCCAGGCCCTGTCCGACCCGGAGAGGGGCTTCAGGTGCATGGTGGTGGTGATCCAGTGGTTGGCACACACCTTCAGCACCTGCTCTCTCCGCATCAGCATTCTCAGTTTACCGTTAACTTCATTTTTGAGAATTTTTAAGTTCCCCAAACCCCTTTCTTTCCACTGACTTATCTCAGCATCAAACCTAAACAATTTTACCCGCTGTGAGTAAAGAACTTTCTCATCTTCTTCTCCTGTGACAAGCTCCACTTTCTCAGGCATCTGGACGACTGGTTCAAAATGGATATCGTCACTGTCCTCAGTCTTATAGGCGTCATCATCTTTCTCAAGGTCAGCACAAGTGTCGGCTTTATCAGCCATTTTACTACTTTGTGAGGAGAATAACTTCTCTCCAGCACCCGAAAAGCCCTTGAAATTGGGGTCTTTTTTGCCAAACTGAAACCCTTCTCCTGAATTTGATTTTGCAAGATCTGCAAAGGTAAAAGTGCTGCCAGTTTGACCAAGAACCACAGCACTCCCGTCTTTCTGACCGCCAGCATCCTGAGCCTGACATCCAGCGTCATCTCCAAAGGGCTTTTCACTCTTCCTCCCCTGACTTCCCGGCTCCTGAATGCCAAATTTAAACCCGTCAGCAGACACAGGAACAGAAAAACTAAATCCTTCTTTTGTTGACTTAGAGTCTGTATTAGAAGAACTCTGAAACGTAAATGAAGGTGTATTTTCTTGATCCACACGCCCAAATTTAAATCCTTGTTCTGCACTGCCAAACTTAAAGGCTTTTTCTGAAAAGCTACTTTTAAATCCTGTTCCCACCTGACTTCCAGAAGAGTCATTTGCCTTAGTTGTTGAGCCCAAAGTGAAAGCTGAAGGTTCTTCTGCAACAGGTTTATGGGCTGGTTTAGAGACATCACAAGCCACACATTTTAAGGAAGAACTCTCATTTCGCACAAAGCAAACGCTGCAATCCCACTGTCCTTCCTTCTTGGTGAATATCCCTTCTAGACCACTCTTTGGAGCCTTGCTTGTCTCTGAGGTGCCAAACTTGAAAGAGGCAGGTGCTGGGACAGCAGAAGCAGGTAAACTCTGTTTTCTTGGATTCTGACAAGCCACACATTTTGTAGAACTTCCCTCATTTCGTACCAAACAAACGCTGCAATCCCACTGTCCTTCCTTCTTGATGAACATCTCTTCAAGTCCACTGTTTGGAGCCTTGCTTGTCTCTGAAGACGCAGGTGCTGGAGCAGCAGAAGTGGGTGGATTCTGACAAGCCACACACGCTGCTGCACTTGCCTCATTTCGCACTAAGCACAGACTGCAATCCCACTGTCCTTCCTTCTTGGCGAAAACTCCTTCAAATCCACTCTTTGGAGCCTTGCTTGTCTCTGAAGCACCAAACTTAAAAGAGGCAGGTGCTGGGACAGCAGAAGCAGGAAAACTCTGTTTTCTTGGATTCTGACAAGCCATACATTTTGCAGAACTTCCTTCATTTTGTACTAAGCAAACACTGCAATCCCACTGTCCTTCCTTTATTGAAAAAACAGATCTGAAATCACTGCTGGCAGATTTAGGAAGATCTCCCTGGCCAAATTTAAAGGAAGGCTGCTGAACAAATGAAGATCCACTTTTGTTAGTAGACTTTGTATTCTGACATGCAATGCATCTAGATACAGTGGGTTCATTTCTTACTAAACAAATACTACAATCCCAGTGACCTTCTTTCTTTGGAGTAATCAATGCAAATCTATCTGGAGTATTTTCTGAGCCAGATTTAGGAGTGGAAACAGTTTCAACTAATGATGAGCTAAGGAGCTCTTTACTGCTTGGGTTTAGATTTTGGCAGGATACACATTTCTCAGCAGTTGCGGCATTCTTTAATGAGCAGCTGTTACAATGCCACCAAGACCCTTCTTTCTTTGCAACCTGAAATTCAAAGTTCATGTTTCCGGCAGCAGATTTGCCAATATCCTTGTCATGACCCGTGGGTTCTTTTATAGTTCTCGTAGACTGACTGGAAGTTGTGGCTCTGTTTGCTCCTGAGGCTTTTAACATGCTCTGGGCCTCTTCAAACTTGCACTTAAAAAGTGCTGCCTCCTCAGGTGTCTTGAATCTAATAGCAAGCTGTTCTGGTTTGGGCGACTCGTCTGCATAGTCCAGAGCGTACCACACAAAGGACCTGTCCGAGCCGGCGTTGGGCGCCAGGGCCATGTCTGGGCTGATGTAGTGATTCGCACAGATTTTCAACACTTGCTCACGTCTCATCAGTAGGCGGATTTTACCGGAGGTTTTGTGCCTTAGTATCTTTACGTTGCCAATTCCACGCTCCTTCCATTCTCTTGATCCCGCATCAAAACGATACAACTTGGCACGATTGCAGAAGAACTCTTCCTCGTCCTCCTCACCAGTTCTCACTTCAATCTTATCGGGAAGAGGCACCACCGGCTCAAAGTGAGGGCCGTCGTCGTCCTCGTCCCCGTGCGCACTACCCCCATCAGTATCATGACTCTTGTTGGCCGGCTCTGCAGCAGGCGTTCCAAACACTGATTTCCCTGGACCGTGGAAAGTAAACATATCATCACTGCGTCGAAAACCAGAATTCTTTTGCTGATTTGGGCCCATGTTTTCAGTAAATGAAATTCCAGGCACATTTTTGCTTCCAAAATTGAATGTATTTCGAGGTCCAATGGTCTGAGCAGCTTTTGTTCCACCGTAGCTATCTCCTTGCAATGGTTTGTCTGAAGTCAGGAGACCTAAAAGGCTTTCACTATTAGTGTAAGTCGTAGAAGGGGGCTGTGCCACAACCTGTGGTGAGGAAAATGTGAAGTCGCCATCATTTGATTTGAAATTTGAATTAAATTTAAAAGGAGTTGGCTGTGATGTACGCACAGGTGCTGCCAAAGATGGCCCCATGCCTTCACCTGGCACAGGCTGGACAAAATTGGTTTTTCCAAATTCCATACCCTTAGATTCTGCAGATCTTGAAGCATGAGCTGCAACTGGAGGTTTTGTAAAATAACCTGGTTCTGGTAAAGGTGGATTTGTGCTTGTCTGTTGAACATTGTAATTAAAGTAATCATCACCCCTAGGTGATAGAATTCCTGTTGCAGGAGACTCAAAACGCAATGGGGGACCATACATCTCTTGAGAGAACATACAAGCAGACGAACTCTGCACTGGTGGTGTGTGCATCTGCTGTGAGTAGGCGTAGATATGCTGCTGAGGTGGAAGCCTATTCATGCCATAAACTGGTCCCTAGGAAAAAAAAATAAAGAGCACATTTTTGTAGGTTGTCTATAAAACTATAGCTTAACTAGATACAATCCAATTCTCATAAACCTCAAGCATGAGTACAGGGTAAATACATCACTAGGGCATACAGTGCATCCTTAAGAGAAGACACTTCTACATTACTGCAAAGATACTTACAGCTCTAGTTCTCCTTGGAATATAATGAAAATTGCCTTAACTAATGACAGCACCTTAAAAACCTAATTCTCCTACAACAGATTCATAGAATAAATACCTTCCTCACTCCTAAACAAGGTATCCAATGATGTTAACAATGATGATGATGACAATGAGGACTAACGTTTGTTAACGTGCCAACTGGGCACAGTTCTAAGCACTGTACATATATTATCTCATCTTAATATCCTCGAACACCCTATGAATTAAGGCATTATTATCCCCATTTTACATATGAGGCAACTAATGCATAGAGAAGTTAAGAACTGAAGAGCCAGGGCCTAGAGGCACCCAAGCCCGGTGTCTCTGCCCGGCTCTGCTGGATGCCGGTCTCCGTGGACACTTGGTCACAGCGCCCCAGGCCTGCAACTTACACACAGCACTCCAGTGAGGACATCACAGTCCTGCTTCTGTCACGACCGAAAGACGAACGACCCACCACCACCCCAATTTAAAAATATTCTAGATGTTCACATTTATTGTAACATAGAAATTAACTGAGAAACATACTTCTATATCTGAGAGAAATTTAAAATATCTGTTATCTGGTGGGACATTTAAGTTTTAATGCTGAACTACTTCTTGAATTTCTCTGTAGGAAGCCTGGACAGTTAAAAAGGAGATACTTATAAATGTATAAATTATTCCTTTGTTACCTTTGTGGGAGTAACATTAGATGCTGGTCTGAGTAGATACTGGGAATTATATGCTGGTGACTGACTATAATACATTGAATGGCCAGTAGTTGCAACTAAAAAAAAAAAAAAAGAAAAGAAAAAAAAAGAAAGAAAACACTGTTAAAAAAAGTCTATGCTGCAGTTAGGACTATCTAGGCAAGAACTATAAATACAAAAGCAGTAGAAATCAAAGAGAGATTAACTACATAGGTTTTTTTTAAATTTCTATACATCAAAATACATCATCATAAAGATTACCAAATGACAAACTAGGAACGACCGCTAGGTGTGACACAGGAGGAGTGAGAGCAGCAGCAGGGTGTCAGCAAGAGCAGAGTCCCCACAACAAGCACCACAAGGAGCCAAGACGAGCGGTGGGGCCGCGCCCTGAGAAAGAGGGGCACGACGGGGAGGCACAGTCGTGCCGCGTCAGAAACACGGGGGATACACTAGTCACAGGAAGGACTTAAGGAACCAAAACGCACGTCATGGCCTCAGGGCCACATTTTTGAAGTGAGCCGTGAAAATCTGCAGAATGACATGGCTGCATGTTTTAAACTCAAGCTGAGAACGTTCAGGTCAAAAGTCACCTAACAAATTCATGCAAAGGATCTCACAAGTAACACAAAATGTGTTCCCTGGCTTAATAAAAAGGGCGCAGCATGACTCACACTCATGCTGGTGTCCAAACTATCTGCTCCATCTGTTTTGTGTGTGTGTTATCAGGAAACCAGCAACTAGAAGACACTCATGTTGATGGTAAAAACAACCAACAATCATTTACTTGATCTGTTTTAAGAAAGTTTTAACAGAAAACAAAACAACTTAAAGATCATTTATACCTTTACACAGAAGAGGAAGCAGAAATTGTGACCCAAGAGGTGCTGGGCAGCTGACTGTGGAAAGCCCTAAAGACCAGTAAAGGCGAGCCAGGCTGTCTGTCCTCTATGCAGTTACCAGAGAAACAGAGCCACTGCAGAGGCCCAAGCCTGAGCGTGGAAAACTAACGGGCTGCCTGATGATGGCTACCATGACATATTCTGGGGAGAAAACAGGCAAAGAACACAGAACAAGATGATGGATATAAGCCAAGAATCATAAAGTCTGAAACTTAACTGGTGACTTTATCAGGGATAGTGAAAAAAAGTACTAAAAACATCCTATAGAAAAAAGGCACCCAATGAACAGACAACTCATGAAATATAAAGGATTATAAAGTGTTGAGCATGCCTAGTACTAAAAAAACAAAAACTTAAAAGCTGGTATTATTTTTGTTTTTAAAAATAGGCAAGGTTTTTATAAACTGGTAATAGCAAACACCTGGCAAGAGTGCAAAGAGATAGGCACTACCAGATACTGGTGGTAAGAGTGTAAAACCGGCACAGCTTCTCAGGAAAGCAATTTCCCAACACAAGAAATTTTACAAAACCCTAACTAAAATCCTAGGACTGTGTTCACAGCATTATTTACAATAGCAACAACTGGAAATTTAAAAATAAGGGAATAAAATCTGCAGAGCTTCCACATGATGGATACCTTGTATTCATTAACAGTACTGTCAAAAAAACGTTGAGTAGAAAACTGCTCAGAACTTAAATATTTAAAAACAGGCTACTCGTCTCCATACAACGTGATAAAGTTCTCTAATATACAAAGAGAGAGGACCAGAAGGAAATGCTCCAAAATGTTAGCAGAACTCTGTGTGATATGGTTAGTGTTTACTTTTCTTTACACTGGTCAGTACTTCTGAATATTTCTTTATTATAAGCTTATTGTTTTTTAATCATCTTCTTTTAAAAAGACAACGACCATCTTGGCACATCTGCACCTTCATTAAGAAAAACAGTCTGTGAACACAGGAATGGGAATCAGGAGACCTGAGCTCTCCTCTCAGGGCCACAAAGCTGCCTGCAACTTTGTCAAATAGTCACTTGGGGTCTCCATTTTTCTCACTTGTAAAATGAGGATGTGCTGCTTCTACCCATTTCATAGAGTAACTGCAAGAATAAAATGAGACAATGTGAATGTTATGCTTATATGTGTGTGTAACAACCAGAAGACCTGTTATGCCTGTACAAAGAAGAAGAAAACAGAACTTGTGACCCACAGGTGCCAAATGATGACTCCACACAGCACTCGGAGAGCCAAGGAGAAAGCCAGCCAGCTTGCCTATCTTCTGTAGTCAAGGCTCTACACAGTGCACACGGTTTAGGTAAACAATGTTTAAACTCTGACTTCTCATGTATTTATCTGTGACTTACATATGACATTTAGTGAGTTTGACTTCACAAAGATTTTTCTATTACTTTGCACGCACTTGGAGGACACTGTTATGAGAGGACCATGAGTTTGCCTTAAGTATGGCCCTATGGACCATCACACAAATGTGTGAAACTAGGCCACACCATTCTGAATCAAAACCAATTAATCTAATTACCAACATTTCAGGAATCTGTCTCATGTGAAAGAAGCCTATTTTCCCCATCACTCTGGCTGGCTGGGGACAAGTGGCTTTAAAGTTATAGCACTAGAGTTCGAACCCCGGCTCTACCAATAACTATCTGTACAATAATGGGTAAGTTACCTAACCCTTCCAAACCCACTTCCTCATCTAAAAAATGTGGATTCATGATGGTACCCACCACTCTGGGTCACTGTCATTAAATAAAATTACATACACAAGCACCTTGGTACACAGACAACCACAGGAGACACAGTCCGTACCCTTTGGTTCATTAGGTGTTTAATGCATGTTCTAAGTAAATGCCTAATGCACACCACCCACACACAAATGCTCACAATAATCATGTGATGCAAAGTATTACTTCTAGGTTTCAAACAAACTGGCTCAGAGAGGTAAGTTAAGAGAGCACGATCTAAAACTCCAGTGTGCTCTAGCTCCACACTCTTTCCTTCTATATATGACCGCAGTATTTCAAAATAAAAAGTTTCCCAGGACTGTCATACCTCTCAGTATGTCATCAAAATAATTCCCAAGACGTTTAAGTTCTTAACTAGCCATCTCTTAATGAATAACGCTGTCAGTTAACATTTTTTCAATCATAAGGCATAGTTCCAACTCAGTCTCAGCTCCTCTGAGATGTGCATTAAAAGGTTCTTTAAGCCTTTAGCCTTTATATAAACAGGGTCAGATAAAGCTTGTTTTGTTTCTGCTTAGAGTTATAGAAATCCTGGTAATACCAAATACAGCTTAAGTAACATACAGGCAGACATGGACAGACATGTATATAGATAAATGTATACAGACAAGGCGATTTCACAAGTTACCTGTTCAAAGGAGGAGAAAGTACAGACTTCACTAATACCTGGGAGTATCCAGTTGCCAACTCACCTGTTAGTGGGGCCCCATGAAAATTCTGTGACCCCTGATATCCATCAGGCACTGAATCTGGTCCATAATTCTCTGTAGGCCAACGATGAGGGGACCCTGAGTTACCGCTATTTAGTTTCAACTCCTGCATTTCTTTCTGTTGGAAGAGGAAACAATTTTAAGCAATTATATCACGGCAGACACAGTGCTAGAGCAAACGTAATACTTGATGATGCCTTTTAAGAGATTCTATACTCCAGTAGGATCTGAGTACCAGGTGCTGATTTAAAACATGATCCTTAATTTGTCAAAGCTTGTTATTTGCTCCCATTCTTTCACTCCTTAGTACCATTACCTAATTCATTCATTCTAGAGTCAGCTCTAACCTAAACAATGGCCTCATCTCCCTTTCCATTCTGCATTGGCTTAAAGTAATCTTTCTAAAGTTCAGCTATAGCCAAGACACTTACCCGCTCAAAAAAACAAGTACCTACGAAATGAACTTCTTTCTCTGACACTGCCAGTGCTCAGCAGCATCGCCCCAAACGCCCTTCCAGTGCCTCACTGCACCTGCTCTGCTCTTCAGTCCACCTGGACTGCTCTACACCCCACATTCCCTCCCAGACTAGCCTCCCACTCAGCCGCATACGCAATGCCAAACACTGCCAACCTCTCAAGGTAAAGCTCAAATGCTCTACTGGGAAAGGGAAAACTGCTAACACTTGCTCGGAATATATTACCTATAGTGTACTGTATATATTATGTGTATACAATGACACATTCCAGACAATTTACTTACGCTCTTAGCTCTTAATTCTTACAAAGTTCCAAACCGGCAGACATAATGCCTTCCAATGACAGCTAGTGGTCAGCAATCAGATCCATCACTTTGTAGACAACCAAATGACAACGCCCTCCCCAACCCCAGAACCTACAAAGCAGACACTTTTCAGGAATAGTAAAATTAACAAATGAGGTCAGAGACAAATCCAGAATGTCTGCTCTCTTCTCCTAAAAGTATTTTAGAGGGAATTCCCTGGCAGTCCAGTGGTTAAGACTCAGAGCTTTCACTGCCGTGGCCCCGGGGTTCAATCCCTGGTCGGAAAACCAAGATCCCACAGGCCGCACAGTGCGGCCAAAAAAACAAGTGTTTTAGGAAAAGAAATTTTCTGAAAACTGTAACTCTTGAGGTGAAAAATATCTTGAATTTTCAAACTAAAATTTTCCCCGTTCGTCTATCTACTGTGTCTAGTCCAGATGCTACACATCCAAAAATAAGAAACTGATGGAATCAACTGGAAAGTTTTACTGGTCACTACTGGTATCTGGACCATAGATTTAAATATGCAATTAAAGCTATAAAAGTAATTTTAAAAATTCAAACAACTAGAACATATGATGAAAACCGGTTTCAACAATTCTCACTCAACTTTACAGATGAGAAGCCAAACAGACAGAAAGACAAGGAACTCCCTGACCCGAGATCATTCATCAATGGCAGTTAGTACTAGAACTCAGCTTTCTAGGCACACGGACTAGTCCTCCACTACTAGTGCTTCCAAGAATACAATGTTGGGTACCAGAAACCTACATGGTAAGTATGTAATATCATAACAAGCCACGATCATAAAAAATTAACATACAAAATCTCTGTGCAGGGACTTCCCTAGTGGCACAGTGGTTAAGAATCCGCCTGCCGATGCGGGAGACATGGGTTCGATCCCTGGTCCAGGGAGATGCCACATGCCGTGGAGCAGCTAGGCCCGTGTGCCACAACTACTGAGCCTGTGCTCTAGAGCCCTTGAGCCACAATTATTGAAGCCCATGCGCCCTAGAGCTCACGCACTGCAACTACTGAGCCCATGTGCTGCAACTACTGAAGCCTGTGCACTCCGGGGCCTGTGTGCTGCGACTACTGAGACCGAGTGCTGCCACTACTGAAGCCGACACACCTAGAGCCCGTGCTCCGCAACAAAAGAAGCCACTGCGATGAGAAGCCCGCGCACCGCAACGAAGAGTAGCCCCTGCTCGCCACAACTAGAGAAAGCCCGCAGGCAGAAACGAAGACCCAACACAGCCAAAAATAAGTTTAAAAATTAAGACAAAAAAACTGTGCAAATTCACAAGTGCAAAAAATACAAACAGTATTAAGTCTCACTAATTGCTGACAGCACTGCAATAGTCACACACATACCAATACTTCCTTGCTGTAACTTTAGAAATATGAATGACTTAGTTCTGGTCAATGAGCGTGAAACAACTTACCTGTACTTCCAACTTCAAAGAAGTAAAGCTCCTTTGAGTGCTATGGTTAAGGTCATTTCCATAAAGTTAAAATAAAATCATGTTCACATAACTATTTCTTTACATAATTAAGTCAAATTCATATGAAATATTAAAAAGATAAAGAGGCCTTTTGAAGTTTAGACCACTTGTGAAGTCCTAGATATAAACTTAACATACACAACCACAGTCAGTCTGAGACAAACTCACACACCAAGGTATGAAGAGTATATTTCACTAGTTCAATTCAATCACCTGGGAACCTCCTCTATGCCAGAAACAAGGCTATGTTTTGGATAGAGGAGTCTCTACCTTTGAAAGATTCGTATCTAGTGGAGGACGCAGACACTTAAGTAGTTTCAAAAATATGCTAAGTGTAGCGCTTCCCTGGTGGCGCAGTGGTTGAGAGTCTGCCTGCTGATGCAGGGGACGCGGGTTCGTGCCCCGGTCCGGGAAGATCCCACATGCCGCGGAGCAGCTGGGCCCGTGAGCCATGGCCGCTGAGCCGGCTTTTCCGGAGCCTGGACCCAAAAAGGGAAAGGCAAAAAAAAAGAAAGACGGTGTACCAAAAAAAAAAAAAAAAAAAAAAAAAAAATATGCTAAGCGTCAAGATGAAAGCACGTAAAACACAGTATGATTCTACAGTCACATGGCAAAGGAACATTTTGAACAGTTTTAGAAATAAGTGAGAAAGTGGACAAGGAAGGCATCTAGGAATAAGAGAGGCACAGTTTAGAGAAATCAAGTCATTTACCTTAATGGCCTCTACTTGTTGGCAGATCATTTTCAATAAAGAATTTTGATCTTCTGCCCATGGAGGTGGTGTTTTGGGAGAATACTGAAAAAATAACAACAAAAAAGTACTTAAAACATTTAGAACAGAAATGTATTCCACAGTAGAGTGACTCATTTCTTCCCCACTTACCTTGTAACTTTTATTTGGTGATAGAGAGTATTTGGTGGGAGACGGTGTAGAATGTTTTATTTCTGAATCTGCATTTCGCAAAGAACCATTTCTATAAAGAGGCCCTCCTTCACTGAAGTCATCGAGCTCCTGCATGACTAAATTAAGCATCTCTTTTACAGATTCCAGGGGCACGGGCAACTAAAAACAAAAGGCATGAATCAATGGCTTTAGCCTGCAAAATTACCGAAGTAGAACTCTCTCTAAAATAAACACAGATTTTTTTTTCTTACTAAAATTTACGTTTTTCACTTTTATGTAACAAGCACATTATACTTTATGTAACAACAAACATGAAACTGCTGTGTAATCAAAGGCTTCCAACCCTCAAGTCCATGCTGTTTCTATCCCTCGTTAGCCACAGTAATGGCAGAGCAATGTTAACTGGGGAAGCTTTTCCACGTGAACAAAATTAAGTTACTGACGTTTACTGATTTTTTTTTTTTTCCCGGTACGCGGGCCTCTCACTGTTGTGGCCTCTCCCATTGTGGAGCACAGGCTCCGGACGCGCAGGCTCAGCAGCCATGGCTCAAGGGCCCAGCTGCTCTGCGGCATGTGGGATCTTCCCGGACCGGGGCACGAACCCGTGTCCCCTGCATTGGTAGGCGGACTCTCAACCACTGCGCCACCAGGGAAACCCTAACTGATTTTGAATATGAGGAGAAACACAGATGTTGGAATGCACCAAACATAAATCCTAATCCAAGAGCAGCAACACAAACTAATCAACAAAACAGGTGGAAGGTTGAATGTAGTTAAGGTTAATACCATCGCAACAGCCTCAAACTGCTGACAGCTGGGAAAAGGTAGTTACATCAGATGGTCATGATGAGAGAAACGCTCTCAAGTAGTCGGTGACATGTTTAACTGTGAAGTCCGTGCAGAAACAGTCCTTAGGTGGCAATATTTGTTGATTTCATTGCCAAGATAACAAAAATAAATGCATACCTTGGAAACCTTTTCTAATTCCCTAACAAGCATTTTTTGTAAGAGTATAAACTTAAGTGCCCAAGTTTAAAAAAAACACACACACCCCACCCCCCCAAACCTAAGGCAAAATAATGCTAATTAAATATTTAAACACCCTCCATTTTCCGCATTAATAAGGCACCACTAAACATTTTTGAAATTACCAAAATATAAAACCAAGGCAAAAGTACTTATCAAAATAATAAGAAAGTACAAACAACCTGCAACTTACTTTCTTAACCACTGAGAGATCTGAATCACTGTCATCTAAAATCTTTATCAGGTAGTCTCTGGTCTTTCTCAGGTAATTTTTGCATTCTTCTTGTTCTTCAGAAGAAAGTGCATCATTTTCAATGTCTTCTGCTTTTCTGTGAAAAATCTATACACAGAGTGCTTTTATGAAACAATTATGTTTTAAAACAAAAACCTTTTAATTCAAGTACCACACAACTTACCAGTGCAAGATTCCAATAAGAAACGACATTATTAATAGATTCAAAAGCAGCCACAGCATCGTCTATATTTCCATTAACTGCATCCAATATAGCACATGTTATGTGTGCTTCCTCTTCATATTCACCCATTTCAGATGCCTAAACATATTAGATAACTTTTAGTCAAATTGCCTCTACCCAGAATATCAAACCCAAATGATTTCCCAAAGATTTTACACGATCTAATGAGATTAGCATCGCAGTACTCTCTTCTGCCATACTGTATTTGTGACAGCTAGTGGACTCAGAAAACAAGACTTCCATGAGATAGCCAAGCAACAAATTTAAGCAGTTTATACTCCCACTTCTTTGTTTATAAATTGGAAATCCACATTTCCAGTTAGTTCACAAAGGGATCCTCCATTACCTGAATGTCTGCACTATGAAAATGTTTAAACAGAGGGTCAATAGGTTCAGGGATACTGCTCTTCTTTTTAAGTATCTTCAACAATGGCAAAACCTTCTTCCAGTAATGAACACTTCTGCCTATGTATTCTCGTTGATCGTAAAAAGAATTAAGACCACTGCCCTAAAAAAATACAAAGTTAGAAGAGACACAAACGATCAGATCCAAAAATTCATTTATAGATGGTCTGAACAACTGGTTAAAATTTCAAATCAAGGCAAAATAGAATCTCACAAGCCATATGCTCACCTTTCCAAATACTGGAATAACTAACCACTTTAATACCAGTGATCATTCTAGAACCAACTTTTACACACTTTCAATGACACTAACTAATCAGGCAGCCCACTTTATTTTTTTAAAGTTGCTATTTTTAGACAGCCGAAATCTGCCACTCTTATAGGTGCCACAGTTTGGTCAAAGGGCTAAACTAATCTAATCTTGCCACAGAACGGACCTCAACTACTTAGCAAGAGATAATGCCCTTACCTACAGAGTCTTGTGCCACCAAACACGTAAAAGAATCTTCAGGCTGGACAATATTTATCGTAAGGTAAATAAGTAATAATAACAATGACTAATACTTATGGAACATTTACTGTGCCAGGCACTGTTCTAAGCACTTATGTATTAACTAGACTAACCACTCTGTGGCAAGATTAAGAAAATACGTTTCACCTGACATAATATGAATAAGCTGTTTTTAAAACTGAAAGGCTTTCAATGTAAAATCTGTGATTTTAAAAAATGACAGTAATGTTCTTAAAAACTGCTTCCACTTCAGTGAACTCACCGTTTTCTGAAGGCACTTTGCCCAGTGCACAAGTAGAGCAGGCTGAAGGCCATGTTTTTCCTGGCCCCTTAGAGTGTTTATGTCATGCTGAACTAGAAGTCGCAATTTTGCTGAGGTTCCAGGTCTAAAAAAAGTTGTATTTAATAAAATTGATTTATAAACATGCAGTTCAACACTTACACGTATGTAAATCATCACATGATAATTAAAAATTAAAACTTCACATGAGAATTAAAGTCCCTAGGCAATAAGTCAAAGGAGTATTCTTGTTTGACTACTTACATTGCTTTTCTGTGGATTAGATTACAAACTGCATCCCACCAAGATTTCTGTCTTTCTGTGCAAAGCTGTTTACACACAGGAAGTGGCAAGCACAGAGGCTGATAGAAGCTGTAGTGAGAATTACACTTCTCCTTTAATTGTAAGTGGCTGGTATATATTACTCCAAGTAGAAATACCTGTTTTTATTTAAAGAAAAATCAATTTAAGTAGAAAAAAAATCAAACAATACTCATAATGTTTAAGTTGTTAAAATCTCTGCTTACTTCAAGATCTAAAATACATATTGATTCAGGTGCATTTGTTTCAAGTCTTGAGGTTTCCTGGGGCAAATGATGAAAAAGCTGTTTTAGCCATTTTCGAATCGCAGGTAAGGCAGGCAATGAACTCCACTGTAAGCCAAGCCAGGTGAGGTGCTGAAGACTACCATTATGTGCTCGAATGGCACCTGAAATACAAAAAAAAAATTGGCTTGATTGTGTCCCATCAGTTTTGCCAACATAAACAACTGACTCATAATAAATGTACCTTAATTTTATAACTGCTTTTCTATATCAGAGCACAGGGGAAATCTATGATAAGCAAAGTCTTATGTTCTTATTAGAAGTATTCAAACTCCATCTAGGAACTTTAATAAAGACAGTTATAATGGAAAACGTTCTTTTGAAGTCCATCTAAGAAGAAAAAAGAGCCTCACTAGAACTCAATAGAACAAAATCTACTGACAGAGGTAAAATAAAGAATAGCCACCAGTAAGAAATCTTGAAACAACAGATTTTCCTTTCAGTGAAGAAATATTAAAACAATGGGATACCACTACATTAGTCCATTAGGATAATAAATAGATCTTTTCCTCTACAAGAAATTCAATACTAAAAAAGTTATGGGCTTCGGAAAGCATAAATAGGCACAAGTTTTCTTGTAATATGGCAATTTGCAAGAGACTTAAACACGCTCATCCACTTTATCCCAGTAATTCTGTTTTTAGGAATCTCTACGGGATAACTGAAATGGAGGCACTTTATAGTAAAGTTTTCATCAGCATTTTAATATAAGTGAAAAAACTGGAAACATCTTCAATACCCAACAATAAAAAGTGGCAAACAAATTATGGCTACTTCACTAAAAAGATCATATTGCCACTAAAAGTGATAGTTAGAGAGACAGGATGAGAAAGAATTCATGAGACTAATCATGTGTACAGTATAAACAACTATTTACAAGAAAAACATATGCCACCACTACAGCTACCCCAACCCCTCATACTACCCCAACCCCAACCCTTCAAAAAACTTGCAAGGAATATAGGAAAATATTAAGTCATTATTTCTGGGTAATGAGATTATGGGCAATTTATTCCCCTTGTTGCTATTATTTGTCTCCTAGTATAAAAGGATTAAAATGCAAAATGTTTCCTTAGAAAGATACAACTTACCAACATCATATCGAGCCAAATCCTCAGGATCTGGTGCTTGTACATCAAGGTTTCCAATATCATCGCTACCAAGGAAAGATCTATCCTTAGGTGACTGACTAGAAAACAGAGCATCATATACAGCAGACTGCCCACTTTCATTGGCAAAGGATTCTACAACCTCTTTTAAAAAGTCTTGCTTGTCACGACTTAAGTTTAGCAGCATATGCCCTGAAAAACAAATTATTTCCATCATTTAAAAAATAGATTGTTTTTATTCATCTCTCTCAATAGGTTCATTCACATACCCTAAGGGGAAATAACATGACTATCTCAGACCCAGCCCTCCAGCCCAACAACCACAGCTGGACCCAAAAGGGTGCTGATGTGAAAAATGAATAGACTACAGTGTAACAGTATCTGTATCTACGTACTAGAATAAAAGGAAAGAAAAAAATGTGTGCGAAAAATACCAAAAGGATTTCCATTTTAGATGGAAAAGTGTGGGATTCAAGCGGCCACAGGAGAACAGGACCAAGCTCAAATTTTCTGACCTGATAAACCTAACTTCTAAACCTGGCTGGTCAGAATCATCCTTTAAAAAGCTTAAAATTTTTCTTTTTTTATTTCCAGGCCCCACTCCCAGAGATTCTGATTCCACAGATTTGGGGTGAAGAATCTATTTTAAAAAACGCTCCTTGGATGAAGTTCTAGGTCACATTACAACATGGATGCACCTTGAAAACACTATGCTAAGTGAAAGAAGACAGTTACCCAAAGACCACATTTTGTATGATTCAATTTATATGAACTGTCCAGAACAGAGAGATATAAAGAGGCAGAAAATTAGTGGTTGCCTAGGACGAGGGGGTCTGGAGGAATGAGGAGTGACTGCTAACGGGTACGAGGTTTCTTTATGAGGTGATGAAAATATCCTAAAATGAAAACTGCTTCTTACAGAAACATTTCCCCATGGAGTCTTCAGTTCACTGCTTGATTCACTGCCTGCGTGAACACCTGCAAGTTTCTGCCTTAACAAAGCCAGATAGTCTGTAACAGACCTTTAGGATCCATCCCAAATAGTCAAAACTGGGAATAAATCTAAAAATTCCAAGAGCCTAACAGAATGTGAATATATACCTTCTATCTCTGTTACTATGATGTCAGTTCCTTAAGAGAGAGATCCAGAACTTTTTCATCTTTATATCCCCCCATAGTAATGTCTTAAGCAACTGATGAGTAACTTATTCTTAGTTTAGGAAGTGCTTTAAAATATTCTGGATGGAGGGACTTCCCTGGTGGCACAGTGGCTGAGAATCCGCCTGCCAACGCAGGGGACAAGGGTTCGATCCCAGGTCTGGGAAGATCCCACATGCCGCGGAGCAACTAAGCCTGTGTGCCACAACTACTGAAGCCCACGCGCTCTAGGGCCCGCATGCCACAACTACTGAGACGGTGCGCTGCAACTCCTGAAGCCCATGCGCCTAGAGCCCATGCTCCGCAACAAGAGAAGCCACCGCAATGAGAAGCCCATGCACCACGACGAAGAGTAGCCCCCGCCTGCCACAACTAGAGAAAGCAAAAAATAAAATAAACATAAAAAAAATTTTTTTTTAAAAAAGGAAAAAAAGGGCTTCCCTGGTGGCGCAGTGGTTGAGAGTCCGCCTGCCGATGCAGGGGACGTGGGTTTGTGCCCCGGTCCAGGAAGATCCTACATGCTGCAGAGCGGCTAGGCCTGTGAGCCATGGCCACTGAGCCTGCGCTTCCGGAGCCTGTGCTCCGCAACAGGAGAGGCCACAACAGTGAGAGGCCCGTGTACCGCAAAAAAATAAATAAATAAATTTTTAAAAAATATTCTGGATGGAGGCTCTAGCAGTTAGATTAAGGGGGGGGGGAGGGGGGTAAGCAGTTTCTCTACCCGGGAGCAAACAATATTTGTTCCTTTTAAAGAATATACAATTTCTTATCATTCTTTCTGTATCTCGCTCCCTAATCCAATATGGCAAAGAGAAACAAATGATTATGACAAATTATCTCCTGGACAGAGAGAAGATACTATCATAAGATGTGCCCAAACAGAAATTTTCTTTTCTTTTTAAAATAAAATCAGTTAAACATTACTATTACCTGATTGGCTCAGACGATCACAGGCCATCATTTCCAGTAGATTTTGTCCAGCTTCTCCTTTTATAAATTTAATCTTTGGTCTTGGAACCTGATCATTTTAGAATCAAAAATCTTAATTTAGTGATACTCACATTTTTAATAGTAAGATGTTCCTTTCTATTACACTGTACTTTTTCGATAAAGAATGAGCAGTTAGCCAATGTTAAACAGAGTTGGAAATCTAACTGCAAAACACTCGGAACCAAGAAATTTAGATAATCTATAAAAGATGCCTACGAAGAGCACTTCTGAGAAATTACTTTCTACTAAAAGCACATTCAAGTTACAGCTGGGGAGTACTTGGTTAGAGACCTTTTCTACCCTGCATAAACAGAATGAGAGCAGTGGAAGAGATGACAGCTCTCCATGATCTGGCGCTGGGGGCCCATACTTGGAAATGCCACACTGTGGACAGCACATTTCCAGAGAATAATCTGAGATCCCACTGGGATAACTGGGACAACCAAGAGAGTAAAAGGGCTCCAAGCCATATCCTATGAAGAAGAGCTGGAACAATTATGAATAAACAGAATGGTGAAAAGACGACAGCTGCGTTCAGATATTAGGAAAAGTATCTTGTAAAAGAAGGGCTAGACTTTTTAATAGCACTAAAAGGAAAAACCACCACCAATGGGTAGCAGCTTGAGAAATATTTTTACTCCATATAAGGAAGCACCAAGAACCAAATTATCCAAAAACGCAACAGGCTATCTTGAAAAGCAGCAAATGTCCATCACTGAAAATGTTCACTTCCAGAAAACGAACACTTACTGGAGATATCCTAAAACTTAACTATATGGATGGTGGGTGTCTAACTGCTGTTAAACCTCTAATGACTTTCTTAAATTGGTAGTGGGAGTATTTGATACAACCTCTGTGAGGCTAGAAATTTGGCAATAGCTCTAAAACTTATAAATGCATAGATACACTTTGATCCTGCCATTCTTCTCTCAAGAATTTATTCCACCCGCAAATTTTCACATGTGAAATGGCATAAATTACTCGTTGCAGAATTATTTTGAAGAAGCATAACAAAAAAGTAAAACCTGGTATCTTGGTTTTAGGGCACTGGTTTAAAGAAACCCAATCTATGGTACATCCATGGAATGAAATAACATGCAAACGTCAGAACAAATGAGGGTGCTGTACTCATGCTATGTTTTCTGGGCTGATATGGAAATATCACCAAGATATATTTCATGGAAATAAAGCAAAATAAATAGAATGTACAGAATTTCTTCTTTCTGTATTTTCTAAGAGTGTGTGTGCATAAAACATTTCTTGAAGAAGTCATAAGAAACGACATTAGTTCCTCCAGGGAAGAGAAGTAAATGACTAAGGAACAGACACAGGAAGGAGTTTTCACTGTATATTCTTACATGCCACTACAATATGAAACCATGTGAATATAACCACCTTTCCAAAGATAATTTTTCAAAATAAATATATTACTTATGAACCTAAAAACTTCTGATTTTGAATTTTAGAAACATTAGTTTGACCTATGCTTTTACCCAGAAGTTTTTTAAGCATGAAGCCAAACTTAGTCATCTATAGATAGATGTTGAAGACCACAGAAAATAAGAAACAAAATGTGACATAATTCTTTTTGCTTTCAAACTGACCTCAATTCATAACACTGGCACCTTTTCCAGAACTACTCAACCACTATCATTTGGGACTAGTAAATTAGTTATGAATGTACTCAGTCACATCATCTCAAATCAACATTTCCTCATCTTAATTAAAAGGTTTCAAAAGACGGAATTCCCTGGCAGTCCAGTGGTTAGGACTCGGCGCTTTCACTGCCAAGGACCCCAGTTCAATCCCTGGACAGGGAACCAAGATCCCGCAAGCTGCACAGTGCGGCCAAAAAAAGGTTTCAAGAGAGAATTTGCTTAACTAGCTGAAACACAGACACGCAGATCTTCAACTTAGGATGGGGTTATGCCCCAATAAACCCGTAAGTTGAAAATATCCTAAGTTGAAATGTATTTAATACACCTGACCTACCTTCAACGTGCTCAGAGCACTTACATCAGCCTACAGTCGGGCAAACTCATCTAACGCAAAAAGCCCATTTATTGTAAAGTGCTCAATATCTCATGTGATTGAATACTGTACTAAAAATGAAAAGCAGGACTGTTCCTGTCTGGGTACAGATGGCTGTAAGTCTTCATGGTTGTGTGACAGATGGGGGGTGCAGCCTGCTGCCACTGCCCAGCGTCACAGGAGAGTATGTACCATGTATCGCCAGCCCAGGAAAAGATCAACATTCAAAGTACAGTTTCTACTGAATGTGCAGCACTTTCACACCGTTGTAAAGTTGAAAATCTATAAGTCGGACAATCGTAAGTGGGGGACTACCTGGACTCACTAGAACTACAGCAGTCCCCTAAGCAAGGGTCTGAAAACCCTACCATTAAAAAAGTTAGCCTCACGCAATCAATTAAGAGGGAGATTTAGTTTTTACTATTTAAAAAGGTCAAAGTTTAATACAATAAACTAATGAATACAATAAAAAAGAAACAGACTCACAGATATATAAAACAAACTAGTGGTTACCAGTGGGGAGAGGGAAGGAGGGAGGGGCAAGGTATTGGTGGGGAGTTAAGAGGTGCAAACTATTATGTATAAAATAAGCTACAAGGATATACTGTACAACACAGAGAATACAGCCAATATTTTACAATAACTATAAATGGAGTATAATCTTTAAAAATGGTGACTCACTATATTATATACCTGTAACTTACTCAATACTGTACATCAACTATGCTTCAATTTTAAAAAGGCCAATGTTTAGGATGGTTGACTGTGTGTTAACTTAAAAATACACATTTTTTAAAAATTTAATACATTTTAGTTTCCATTAAAAATAAGAGAACTGTCAGCTACTTGAGGATTCTATAAAAATATTAATCATAAGTACCTTTTAGTGCTTATATAAATTAGCAAACTTCATTAACTTCACTAATTTTCACTAAAATATATTCCTTATGAACCAAAATGCTTCCACTGAGCACACCATAGCACTGTGGACCACATATCAACAGGTTTTTAAAAGATCTAGGTAATATGAACTAGAAGGAGGAACATTCTCTAAAAGTAATTCTATAGTGAACCCCTTTTTCTTTCTCTCAGGCAAAAGATTATTCTCCAAAGCTAACAATAATTTTTACAATCTGGGCTTAATTCATTTTTTGGAAGACTGCTCATTTCTTTTCACTTCAGAATTACTAGAAGCTCACTAAAGAAAACATTAAAACTGCAAAAATGAATTAGGGAAGGGAAAAGAGCCAGCATCTCATCATCTAAAAATAATGGTTAATATTTTGGCGTATTTTCTTCATGTCATGTTCTATGTATAAAGAAGTTTCATGTTTCCAAAGATAAGTAAGTATACTGCTATACATTAAATATACAATTAATGTTGTATACATATCACATACGCATGTTTTCAATTAACATGTTGAAATGCGGGTGGTAAACACATTCTTCGATCATAGCTTACGCAACCATACCCCAAAATTTACTTACTTAGTTTTTCGTCCAAGTTATGCCTATCTTTTTGAATCAAGTTTTATCCATACTTGAGACTATTTCCATACTACAGGTTCCCAGAAATGGCAAAGTAAAAAGATCAAATTCTTCAAATTGATCTTCCAAAAAGCCATAGCAATGCCAACTGCCACCAGCAATGCATCAACGTACCTGTTTCACCAGCCTCACCAGTACTGTATAAATCTTGTTACTCTTCACCCATCAAAGTAACTATTTCATTTTAATTTTACATATTTACCCATATTTTCATTACGGACCAGGACACACCTCCATGTGAAATACAACGAAGTCTCACTGAAACGTCAACTGCATGCAAAACTGGGAGTGGATTACCTGAAAGGCTATGAGATAGCACAACGCAGCCAGCTCAGAGAGCGCTCGCCACTGCACGTCACTATGCTGACCCATCTTCAAAAGCAGAGAACCAGCATGCATGTAGAAATGTCCTCTCACTTCGAAGAAAGTAGCTGAGAGTTCATCATTTCCACCCACACAAGATTTCACAGACTGAAGAGCACTATCAAAACTGTAATATTAAAGTATTAAACACACATTAAACTACTGCATTGTAAATAATCAGTTTCATTATTTAATTCAAAATAAAATAAAACTATTTCCAGCTTCATCTTCCACATTCTAACTCTTAATAATCCATATTGTTCTATGAATTATAAATCATCTAGCGCTTATTGTTATTCCACACACTTCCTATACTTCAAGCTTAACCTCTAGAATGTCTTATTCCAAAACATCTTCTCCATCATATGGTTTTGTTATTTAATTCAAAGTTGAAATTTCTCAAATTAAACATGCCATTTTCAAATTATAATAACTAAAATATGTGCATTATCAATACCATAACTGCTCTTCTTACTATACACATAACTAGAGATAAATAAATTACATTTCTCACTATTATTTGTAATCTATGTATTAATGCTTTTGAATCCCCCCGCCCCACCCCCAGTCCCTGGTGCCAAAAGGGTTGGGGACCACTGCCCTAGAGGGTCTTAACACCCCTCCTAGGGATCCATGAAGTTAAAATTATTTTTTAGTACTACTAAAAAATTGTCTCTTTCTCCTTTATTTCCTCATGTAACCAAGTTTTTAAGTATATAACCACACCAAAATCAAAAAAACATAAAAACCTAAATATTTTCTAAAATGACCTAAAAGTTCAATTTAGTTTTTTTTGGATACTCCCTTACCCTACCCATGTTAAGACACTAAGTACTTCCTCAAGAAAACTAACTCTACACTTCAGTGAAAAGAATTACTTTTCAGACAAATGGAGAGTGTAATAAACCAGGGAATGTCAAACTTTTCCTATAAAGGGCCACATACTAATGTGGCTTTGCAGGCACACCACCTCTGTCACAAGTGCTCAGCTCTACCACTGCAGTGTGTAAGCAGCCATAGATAACACATAACAACGAGCATGGCTGTGGCCAGGAAAACTTTATTCATACAATCAGGCTGTAAGCCTTGTTTGGCCCACAAGCTCTAGTCAACCCCTGCTCTAAACTAACACACAAATCCAAGTGATGTTTCTGTTCAGCGGAATTTATTTTAATCAAGTGGAGATACTGGTCCTCAAAATTAAAACGTGGAAAACAGAAAAACCATGTATTATATTTTAGTTATCTTGTTGCTAAGCTAAAACATTGCTTTCTGAAATATCAGTCACGTTAACAGCTTATACTAGAATATCTGACAAGAAGTTTATTCTCTGATTTTCAATCAAGATTGTATCATTTTTTTTGAAACAAAATATGGAACAGCAGTTAGAACATTCATTTTCAGGCTCAACTCTTTACTAAGTATGCCAAAACTAAATATTTAAATATAATTTAATAAAGCCTAAGCAGTAATACAGTTCTCTAGAAATCAAAGTCACACAAAACCAATTACAATATCCCCACAAAAGAAGATTCCTTCTAAGTAGTTCATTATGTTAACTATTACCTCTGGATATATTACAGAAAAAATAATGCTAGTAAGATGTTTAGACCAATGAACAGAATTACCACAAACAGAAAATCTGTAGCTGACACCGAAGTACTCTCTCCGTAGGTCAACATACCTCTCCAACAATTCCCTGCTCTCGTGCACATCTCTCGTGGACAGCGTGAGAAGCATAAGGTTAGCATAGGCTAGAAGTAAGTCCTGATTGGTTGCTCGCCAGTTACTTTTATCAGACTCCAAACACTGTGAAGATTCCAGATATTCCTATTTTGCAAAAAGAACTCCAAGTTACAAAACTTTATCATGTGTTACAAAACTGAGTGCTTTATGCCTACAAATTCCTTTGCCCATTCCTATGCTGTAAAACCATGTCGATTTTAAATCAGCCTATAAAAACACCAAAAAATATATAAACATATTTCTCATATTTATTTCTCCAATCCACCCATTATAAATTGAAATCATGGTAGCAAAAATCTCATTTCACAGCTGCTATACATAAATGAAAGAAATTTAGGTCTTGGAAGGCAGCGCTTAAATACAAAGGGATATATGGTAACTGTCCATCAAGAAGTGTGAGACCCAACAGTTTTTACCTACCTTAAGGGTCTGTACAACACAGGAATTCCACTCTAAACTTGAACGCAAGACTATGTTTCTCTCTGCCTGGTGGCAGTGGGCCACAGCATCCTTCAGTCTATTGTTTGAGCGATACAGCTCTACTAGTCGGATGTTCATGTGCACATCATCAGGTCTTGCATAAAGTTCTGACTGAATCAAGTCGAAAAGTTTATTCCATCCATCTTCACCTTTACAATCTAAAAGCTGTTCCTATTTTTAAAGAACCGTTAATTAGAGAAACATCTGTGCAACTTTAAACACATCATGGCTCCTATGAGCATCATCCCACTGTGTCTGGCTTTAGTAAATTCCCACTCTACCTACCTCATTAGCCCCTCAGAGTCACTTCCAGCCCAGAAGCTAAACCTCAAGAAATGTACGTGGGGAGAAACACCTGGGATGACACAGCAGCAGTGGCTGCCCATGCTCACCTCAGAGTGTGCCAGGACAACCGGCCTGCGTCCCTGCACACTCCGGTCACTACCAGACGCCTAGCCTCCCAGGAACCCTTGCACCAGGGTCCTCACCCTCAATGTGCTCTGCATCTCCCTAAGGCTGACTCATCTCTGCCCACTCTGCTCCCACTGTGGAGCTCCTACTGCTCTGCTATCTTCTCAAAGTCTTCACCTTCTGGCCTTTCTGAATGGAGTCCCATTCCAAGACAGCTGCCATCACTTCTCTGCTAGCCTACGCACAAGTAGAGGAGGTGGGGGTCTCCCAGCATCACCACCACATCCCTGCTCCTAACTCTTGTTTTCTGAAGGACTTGCTATCCGGCTACTCCTGCCAGTCCCCCCTCATTAGCAACTGGAATAGAACCGTCTTCCTTTATCCCTAACAACTGCCACTGTCAGTGGCAACTGAGAAGTGCAAAAGACACACAATAGCCTGGGCATTCTGCTCTTTAATGACCTCATCTCCAGTGCTCCACACTCCAGCCTCAGCCATCCATTTGGCCAAATCTGTATTTTGATCAAAGCGCTCAGACCACCACACCCTCTCATTTTCCCACCTCACAGGGGCTCACATACCCTCACTGCCACATCTCTTTGCCTCTACCACCTGAAAAGCTTTCAGTACACTGACATCACTAAGTTTTAATTTTCCATGAAATACACACATACACTTTCCTTCCATGTCAAGCTGAAATGCCACAGTCCCAACATCCACAATTACTCCTTACTTATAGATGCCTTCAATTAACTCTCTCCACCTTTCCTGGAGACCCCGCCACCTGCTTCCTCTGCGCCCATACATGAACAGATGAACAAGTGAGTGTAGGGCATTCGGGAATTTGGGAAATCACAAGCAAGCTAACTGATTTACTTTCATAATCTCAAACTGCCAAACTGGTAATGCCTAGAAAAAATAAAGCCCTATTTTACTTCTAATAAACTCACTTTCTCCATTCCCTGAAGAGTTCACTTCATATTCCTCTTTCCTCCAACTCTCACTTTCAACTTATGATCACACCTCATCCCCCGCAGAGAAAATGGAAGCCATCACCCCTAAGCTCCACTCGACCTTCCTGCACTCACCTCCCCACCCCGCCACCTCGCAGACCATGCTCGCCATTAGTGCCCTTTCTCCCTCACCAAGCTCTCTCCTCCTGGATCAGTTCCGTAACTTACACTTGGTGTGTCTATAACTGCAAAAAAGCCCTAGACTTCAATTATATGTTTAAAAATAAATAAGTAAAAAATCAACATCATTATGGATGCTTTTCAAAAATTCTACTCTCGGGACTTCCCTGGTGGCGCAGTAGTTAGGACTCCACGCTCCCAATGCAGGGGGCCCAGGTTTGATCCCTGGTCAGGGAACTAGATCCCACATGCATGCTGCAACTAAGAGTTCGCATGCCACAACTAAGGAGCCGGCGAGCTGCAACTAAAGGAGCCTGCCAGCCACAACTAAGGAGCCCATGAGCCGCAACTAAGACCCGGTGCAACCAAATAAGCAAATAAATATTAAAAAACAAAAATTCTGCTCCCATACCCAAGAGAAAATGCCCTCTCATTAATAATATTGAGTAGTTTTGTTCATTAAAGAAATGTCAAAAAGCTATTTACTGTAAGTCAGCCTTAAATTTTAGGAGAAATAGAATTACTTTGCTAGATAGCTACAAATCTCATGGATTTCTATCCAAAAGATGGGGGGAGAATCTGACATAAGATTTAGTTTTAGACAACACTGTCTTTAAAGAGTCATTAAAGGGAATCAGGATGCTTTAGAAACATTTAACTTTGGTTATACTGCAAGAAAAATAATCCCCTCCCATTTATACATGGTCCATAATGTCACAATGGAATGGATTGTCATGGCCAATAAGGAAATTATGTTTGAGGCATAAAACAAAGATAATAAGGTAAAGAAATCTACACACAGAAACCTAACATTTTAGATTAATTTTGTTTGTTTGTTTTTGCAGCATGCGGGCCTCTCACTGTTGGGGCCTCTGCTGTTGCGGAGCACAGGCTCAGCGGCCATGGCTCACAGGCCTAGTCACTCCGCGGCATGTGGGATCTTCCTGGACTGGGGCACGAACCCGTGTCCCCTGCATCGGCAGACGGACTCTCAACCACTGCGCCACCAGGGAAGCCCCTAGATTAATATTTAAAATCCAGGTGCTTATCACAGGGAGAAAAACTTAATGTTACTAGTATTTATCTCTAGGGGTTTTTAAAACACTTTTGATTTAAAAATCTGTGCACAATTGCTCATACCAGGTTTGTAATCGCTAAACATTGGAAACAACCGAAATTTCCCTCAAAAGTAAATGGTTAAACTGTGGAACACACCCATATGACAAAATACTACTCAGCAATAAAAGGAAGGAACCAACTACTGACTGATACACACAACCTGAATGGGTCTCAAGGGCACTGTATAGAATGAAAAAAGCCAACCTCAAAAGGTCACCCGATGCCTGATTCTATTTATACAACATTTTTAAATTACAAAATTATAAAGACAGAGAACAAATTCACAGTTGGCAGAAGTTAAGGACGATGGGAAGGAGAGGTGGATGTGACCACAGAAGGGCAAGCATGAAAGACGCCCTGTAGTGATGGGGCAGTTCTGTCTCTTGATTGCAGTGCTGGTTAAGCAAATTTACACACATGATGAGATGAACAAGAACCGAACACACACTGCACCAACGCCAAAATCCTGGTGTGATATTGTATTATAGTTACATTAAGAGGTAACCACTGGGGAGAGCTGGATGAAGTAAACTCAGGACCTCTCTGTGCAATCTTTACAACTCCCTGAGAAAAATCTATAATTATTTCAAAATAAAAAAGTTAAAAAAATTCTATCAGAAACATGTATAAGTCGGGATGGAGGGGGTCCTGTTAAAAACAATGTATGCTGGGACTTCCCTGGCGGTCCAGTGGTTAGGACTCAGCACTCTCACTGCCAGGGCCCAGGGTTCGATCCCTGGTCGGGGAACTAAGATCCTACAAGCCACCCAATATATTGGTTACAACCCAACATACACTTAAAATTCTGTTTGCCTAGTATATTTGGAAAGACTTTCTCCAGAAGAGTCACTCAGTAAACTATATTTTACTCAGTAAAGAAAAGCAAGCAGAATGAGTTAATATATTAGCAACAAGTTTCTATCATTTTTAGAAATTACCTATAATATGCTAGAGAAACTGTCTTTTAACTTTTGCTTGAAAACCTCACTATCCCATAACACAGTCCTTTCCAAATTTAGATAACAGTTCTTTAAAAACCTTATAACTCTGAACTGCCACCCTATGGGTAATTTTCACCCAATGAAGCAAAAATTTCATATCAGATAGAAGTCAGTTTAATTTTAGCTCCACCATCTAGCTAACAAACCGTAAAATCCCTAAAACATTAATCATTCCAAAGGGTAAATGAGATGCCATGTGTGAAGCAAACTCGTACCTAATGAAAAAGCATATTGTGATAATGTATGTACTGTGAAATGGCTTCCACAGTAAGTTAACGTCCATCACCTCACCCAGCTACAAATTACTTTCTCTTGTGATGAAAACTTTTAAGACCCCCTCTCAGCAACTTTCAAATGCACAGTGCAGTACTGTTCCCTATAGTCACAAGCTGTACTTCACATCCCCAGAACTTATTTATCTTATAACTGAAGGTTTGTACCCCTGTGACCCCCTTCACCCATTTCCCACACTCCCCATCCCCACGCACACCGGTTTAAAGGTTACTACTGAAATCATTTAAACTCCAAATATTAGAAATAGTTGTGTCTTAAGTCTTCCCCAACTGCTTTTATTATATGCTTTCTTTTGCTTAATTTTTTACCTTTAGTTTATAAATTGCAGGACTTCCTGGAAAAAGTTTAGCTGCTCTTTCAACCCAGTATTTAGCTCTTCCATCACTAACATCATTTTTACAGAGCAATTCTGCAATCTTCAACACAAGATCTTTTTGTGTTGGGTTTAATTCCACTGAACGCTGATATCAAAAAAGAATTAAGAAATTAGTAGGATTCCTAAAGTCCATACACTCATACACAAGAATTAAAAATTTATCAAGTGACTCTATTAAAACTCTATTTCTAAATGACAGCATGTTATTTCAAGGCTATTAAAGTGTCTGCAAGTTTTCTGAAGATGAATTAAAAAAAATTATCTTTTTATTTGGTAAACGCAAAAAAGAAAAGGAAGAGAGGGAGGGAACCACACACATAAGAACAGCATTTCTGATCATGGTAAACTTGAAATTTATAGGTGTTAATCTTCTTTTACAATCGCTAATCTCTTAATGATAAAATACAGCATTCTTTGGGCTAAGAACTTCAAAATCTGTTTCAAGCTGTTTCACTTAATAGTACGATGATACCAGTGCTTGTTTTCAAGACATCCATAAAATATATGTGAATTATTTATTACATAAATTAACCTGGGCATTATGTGTGTTTGGCTATGCGAAGGCTATGTTTTAATCTTATATAGTTTACCTTGTAACATTCAACTGCTTTCTCTATGTTTTCCTCCACTTCGTAAAGAAGGCCGAGAAATCTGTGAGCTTTGGGATCCCTTTCTTGTACGTTAATGTATGTAGATATATATCTGTTTAAAAATAACAATAATATAAAAACAATCTTTAAATTATCACATTTAGAACTGCATTTAACTGCTGAGAGAATATCTTAAGCCAAGCAACCACTAAACTAATTTATATTGTTATTCTAATTCTTGACTACCACTATTTAAAGTAGAATATGCAGATAACTGAAAAGCATCCACAGATAGAAATAATACTTAAACACAAACACATGTACAAAGTTGACAACATACTCATTTTACCATTAAATGGTACATTTACCAAATTTTTTTTTCTAGTGTTACCCATTCTTAAGAAATGAACATATAAATTACCTTTTTTCTATTATTACACTTTGGGAATAGCACTAAGTTTTGCACAGACATTAGAAAGTGATTACAATAAATCTTTAAACTATCATAATGCAAAACACTAAAGAGCAACAATTTCCAAATAACAACTAAGAGAACGTATTCACCTTTTAAACAAGAAAATAACATCTAACGGGACTGTACCCAGCTAAAACAGCACAGAAGAAAAATCACTCACTACACCACCAAATGCCGGTGACTTCCATTCTCTAACTCAAGTGACAACTAAAAATAAGCATATTCTAGGTCCAGTGAATGTTATCACAGGAGATATTAGACCAAAGATCAACACTGGAGGAAAAAGTGTCATATTAATAAGGAACAGGGTTAACAGGCCCAATGCTGCCAGTTAAATAAAGGCGCTAACACTTTCCTTATCAGAATTTTCATCTTCCCGTCAATGCCTTTAATAGCCTGCCTCCCTCAGAATTTCCAGCTTTAAGTCACTATAAATCAGGAAATCAGACCACCAAGCTTCTTGGCTCTATGGTGAGACAAAGCCTCCCAGGATCACCTATCCAGTCAATTAAAGATCTTTTACACAAGCTATTCTCCTGCCCAGGAATTAGTTTAATTTTGTATTCATTGCCATTTTTTTCCAGCTGATAAAAGTAGCAGATATCTAACCAGGAAGAAATTAAGATATAGGCATGGTTCTCCTTTATTCTAACCCAGAACAATCTTTAGCGAAAATTTAATGCCAAACGATTTCTTGCCCTGGGTGTAAATAAGCAGCAGACATGCAGAAAGTATCATTCTAGACTCAACCTGCAGATGGAATCCAGACTAGTTCTTATCACCAATCTGAGTGATGAATCCCTTATTTCCAGGACATACTTAGGAAGAACTGCTAAAAAAACGTGTATTTATCCATGTCAAAGAAGAACATGAAGTTAAAGCACCGGTTTTAGAAAATTAAGGCATGTTTACAGTTTGGTACTTACTTTTTAGCAAGATCATATTCTTTAGCTTCGTAATACAGCTTTGCAAAATAGAATCCTTTCATTGACTTCTAAAAAAAATTGAGAACTCTTTTATTTATCACATTTTGAATTCTGCATATTTTTCACAAGAGCTAAAATCTGTCCTAGCAAGGTTAATATTAATATATTTGATTTTTGTTCACTTAAAAGATTAAAAAAAAAACTGCCTGTAGAAATGCACATGTTCTAAAAGTCCTGAGTCCATGTTTTCTAATTTTCATGAAACAAAAAAATTAATTTAAGAACATCAAGACAAGATGACATCAGAAATTAAGAATTTATATCAGCAAGAAACCTTAGAAACCGTGTGGTGCCCCTCTCACTTTACAGATAAGTAAACAGACAGAAGCCCACTTTTCTAGGGGAGGAGAGGTATATGACAGACTTCACTTCTCCTGCCGTGTGTAAGCCTTTATGGGGAGAGTACCAAAGTACTTCAGACCCATTAAGGCACTGGGGATTCCCTGGTCCAGTTACTGACCGCTCCACAGATCATTATTCTACACTCAAGGAGCTAAAGAGGCAGAAATAAAAATTGAACTCTTCTGGTAATAATCCAAGTCCACACCCTGGCTCTTTTATTTCTATAAGCTCCAAAGTCCAGCCTGCTGAGACACACGAGATGATGTTACACACATGTGACAGAAGTACACAGCCATCAAGCATCTTATTTTTGAAAGCTATATAAGGACACAAAAACAAAAATCAACATATACTAAGTGAAAAAGCAGCCTACAAAGCAATGTTTTCTTTTATTGATTTTATTCCTAAATATACAGGTGTTAGATTTGTTTGCTGTGCCTGCTATTCACCAGGCACCATTCTGGGCACTGGGGAATGGGCAGGAAATTAAGTCTCTGTCTTCATGCACAAAGGCTGCAGTTCAGGAAGGGTGACAAGCACAGAGGCAGGAGAGAGTGTTATTTTACAGTATTTCACCAATTATGTACAGTGCCCTGCATCTTCACAAGGCTACAATCAGATTCAGCCCATGAAGCACAGGCACCCTAACGCTGTGCCTGTCCAACTGGCAAAGCCCCAGGAGTCGGTCCTAAGTCCTCTTCCCTCTCAGAGCATCTCATCTGGGATACATAATCCATCTCACCCGTGACTACGATGACTCTCAAATGTGTATCTCTGGCTCTCAGCTCTCCTGAGCTCTACACTTATGTGTAAAATATTAAGACCTGTCAGTTCTACCTTCTGTGTTACCTCTATCCATCCATTTTTCTGCATCTCTACTGCTACTACCGAAGTACAAGCCTGCTATGATCTCTCTCTGGGACTATCAAAACGACTAATTCCTTCCTGTTTCCCTCCCAAAATTAATTCGCCAAAACATAAGACAAACCACACTGTGCCTTTCTTTAAAATTTAAAATCCTTTTACGGCTTTCATTACATTTTGAAGATACCCATATTTCTCACCAAAGACTAGCATGACGTGGCACCTGCCCAGCTCTACAACTTTACTTCATCTGCCCCTTGCATACTATGGTCTAGCCTGTGACTAAAACCAGAATACATCTCTCCAACTGGGGCAGCCGTGGGGAGTCTCACTGCTTAATTTAAACAAAGGCAACTGTAGGTATTGATGTGATGTGATTTCTGCCCAGTACATTCAATGTCAGGGTAAAGAAATTCAATGAAGGTAGTAAATAAACGGCAGAGTAACTATGAGTCTCTTAAGGTAGTCAGATGCCTTATCATCTAATTAGAGATTTACGAATTAACGACCAAGATTCTCACTAACCTAGTCAAACAACAGCTAAGGGGCAATGACTTGAAAGGATCGACTGACAAGGAGGACCATGTTAAGCACGACTCACGTCTGGCACATAAACAGATATGAAAAGTAGAGTGAGTGGAAAGCCCTCAGTGCCACTCACCTCCCTCCCCTCTACACCTTGGGGAGGCAGAGCTGGGTCCAGCACACCTGCCAAAAGCATAACACAAGTATATCCATCACATTAAAAGTGCAAAAGAAATAAACCACAAGATCATCTCAAATGCCACCAAAAGAAAAAAGCATGTGACAATATCCAACACCCGGGCTTCCCTGGTGGCACAGTGGATAAGAATCCACCTGCCAACGCAGGGGACACAGGTTTGGGCCCTGGTCCGGGAAGATCCCACATGCCGCAGAGCAAATAGGCCCGTGCGCCACAACTGCTGAGCCTGCGCTCTAGAGCCCGCGAGCCACAACTACTGAGCCCGCGTGCCTAGAGCCCGCGCTCCGCAACAAGAGAAGCCACCGCAATGAGAAGCCCACATACTGCAACAAAGAGTAGCCCCCGCTCGCTGCAACTACAGAAAGCCCGCACGCAACAACGAAGACCCAATGCAGCCAAAAATAAATAAATTAATTTTTTTTAAAAAAAGGAATACATCGTAGGAAATTAAACCAACCAAAAAAATAGAGCAATTATTATTTACTCTAGGAAAAATAAAACTACACAATAAAGGTGACTTGAATGCAAAAATATTTACCTTACCGTAATTATATAAACACTAGATATTCACTTAACTAAAATTTACAAGAACAGAACTGAAAAAAGGAGGGGAAAAGTAAATACATCCGTGGACCGGTCTGGAGAAGAGGTGAAAGCCAGCAGAAAGTGTCTAAAATGAGGAAAAGGAGATAAAGAAATAAAAGTACAGTCGACCCTTGAACAAAGCAAGGGTTAGGGGCACTGACCCTCTACCCAGTTCAAGATCCACATATACATACAGTCGGCCCTCTGCATACACACTCGGTTCCTCCATACCCAAGTTTCCACATCCTAAGATTCAACCAACCGTGGATCGCATAGTACTCTAGCACATATTTAGTGAAAATAAACCCACATTTAAGTGGACCTGTGCTGTTCAAGCCCCAGGTTCTAAAATCAATGATTTCTCCTTGTCTGAAGAAAAACATCTGCTCAAAACACTCTTTATAAATGTAAAAGAGGTGAGAGTAATAACCAACCCGTAAAGTTTTGTCCCCACCCTTATTCATTTGACAGAAAAGTTCCTTAGTTCAGAGAACATTCTAACTCCTGTCTAGACAGTGGTTCTTACTCTTTTGAGACCCAGGGTCCCCACTTAGAATTTCATAAAAGCTCTCAACTTGCTTTAGAAAAAAAAGGTACACCGTTTTCAGGGGTACAGAAACGTTCAGTGAGGTTCCGGCTCAGGCTCTGGTCCCACAGTTGCATTCATGAGTACGCCAGCAGTTGGGAATTACAGTCTGCATGTGAGCACCTGGTCCCCTCCTCCGGAGGGATGGGCTGTCCGCCACTCCACTGGTCCTAAGAGAAACTAAGCCACACCCACTGCCAATCCTGCCGAGCCACCTGTGTCCCCAGGACAAGTAGCTTTCATCTCTCCAGGTCTCAATATCCACAGGGTCGTCGGCAGTAACACAACACACACCTAGCACGTGGCTAAAGACACAATCACGGTGCCATTGTATTCCTGACTGTCGCTCGGTTTTCGGCTTTTAACTTCCTCATGCATCTTTATTCGCTTAGGCCCCTGCCCAGAACACCTTGAACGACCGTCCCTCTAACAGCCACATCCGAGGGCTCACCAAACGCGCCGAGCACTGCCCTCAATGTTTAACGAAGACCCTCCTAAAGCTCCTGTCAGTACCCTAACGCCGCCCTACTGCTGAAGTAAGCTACACTGCCCTCAAACCCCACAGCGTGTGCGGGGCAGAGCTGCATTCGACCCCGGACAGCGACCAGGGATCCGACCAGCGACTGGCGGATCCACGGTGCACCCAGCTCGCTATCTGCCTCCAAGGAGGAAAAGTACCCCGAGAGGCGTCGCCGGAAGGCCACGCAAATCTGCCCCGGACACAAGGCCCGGGAGGAAATTCAGACCCCACCAGGGCTCCGCTGAAAAACAAAATGCCGGTAAAAGCAGCTGTGAGGAGCGGCGGGGTGTGAGGGGCGGCAGGGCGGCCGGGCCTCGGCGCGGAGCCCGGGCCGTGGGCGCAGCGGGGCCGCCTCCCTGGCCGCCCGGGCGCCGGGGACGAAGAGGAGAGGAAGTGGAGGAGAGAAAAAAGAAGGAGAAGGAAGAGAAAGCGCCAACGCCGCCGCCCGCCCCGCCGCCTCCCCGCCCCCCCGGCCGCCGGCCGCGCCTCAGCGCGAACCATGGCGCCGCCGCCCACGGGCCCGCCTGGAGGCCGCGCGCCCCGGCCCGCTCACCTCCCGGAGAGACGGGGCGGAGCCCTGCACCGAGGCGATATACCGCTCCACGTCGGCCTTGTTGCGCCTCATAGCGCCGCCGACCAGGGTTCGCGCGCGGGAGGCCAGCGCCTAGGCCGCAGCGGCTGCGGTCTCGGGAGCGCGGCGCCCAAAGGTCCGTGACGCAGCGCCGTCGCCGGCGAGAGCCCGACGCGCCTGCGAGTGTGCGTGCGTGCGTGTCGCGTCAGCCCTGTGCGCCGCGCAGGCCCGTGGGCGCCGGCGCGCGGAGGTGACTGCGCTTGCGCGACGCGGAAATGAGAAGCTCGCGGGCTGTGTGACGCGGCAGAAAGTGCATAGCGACTACGTGGGCCGCGAGAAGCAACGTCCGTGAATAGCCCGACCCACAGGCGCTGGAGGCGGACGGGGTGTACCCGGTGCTGACGTCACTCTTCGGCGCCAGTCGTGTGCGTCAAAGCGCTCGTTTTTGGAATTTGAATTTTTAGGTCTTAGCTTAAAACAAGTTTCATAAAATGTTTTCAGTAGGTTTTAGGATTAAAAAGATCACATCCGTGTATACAGGGAGTTTAGAATTTATGGTTATGGATAATTTTGATCCTTTTTTAATAGACTTAAAACAGTTTTATCCAACACATGGAACTAACCTGGCCTCTTACAGCCTATCCTTTTTGATTTTTCAATTTTTCCAAATTTTCCACAATGAGCAATTATTGCATTTATAAAGAGGGAAAATAAAACAGAACATTCTGGTTCTGTTTTATTTCAATCATATTGGATGTGAATAAGGGTGGCTGGTTTGGAAGAGCCTACCTTGGGTAGTTGATCTTCCTAGTATTGGGTGGGCCAAAAGTGCCTTCCGTTTTTTAAGTAAAAATAAAAGACACATTTTTCGTTTTCGCCAAGAACTACATTGAACAACGTATTCACCCTTTTGTTCCACTACCTTCTGCCATTTTTCAGGCAACTTCGTAATCCCATCTTACCAAAACTTTTTATCTTTTTGAGCAAAGAACTGTTCCAGGTGCCTTTTACAGTCTTTCAGGGAACTGAATTTTTTTCCATTAAGAGAATTTTCTAAAGACCGAAATCAATGGAAATCCCTAGGCGCAATGTCTGGTGAATATGGTAGATGAATCAGAACTTCCCAGCCAAGCTGTAAATAACAGTTTTTTTTATTTTGCCTGGTCATCAGAGAAACACGCAGTCTTGCGTTATCCTGATGGAAGATTATGTGTTTTCTGTTGACTAATCCGGACGCTTTTCGTCGAGTGCTGTTTTCAGTTGGTCTACTTGGGAGCAGTACTTGTTGGAATTAATTGTTTGGTTTTCCGGAAGAAGCTCATAATAGAGGACTCCCTTCCAATCCCACTATAGACACACCACCACCTTCTTTGAATGAAAACTGGCCTTTGGTGTGGTTGGTCATGGTTCATTTTGCTTGCCCCACAATCTTTTCCGTTCCACATTGTTGTACATATCCACTTTTCATCGCCCATCGCAATCGGTTTTAAAAATGGAACCTTTTTATTTATGTTTCAGTAGAGAATCACGTGTGAAAATATGGTCAAGGTTTTTTGCGCTTAACTTATGTTGAACCCACACATCAAAGCGATTCACATGACCAAGCTGGTGCAAACGATTTTCAACGCTTGATTTGGATATTTTGAGTATGTCAGCTATCTCCCGCGTGGTATAACATTGATTGTTCTTAATTATTGTTTCGATTTGATCGCCATCAACTTCAACTGGTCTACCTGACCGTGGAGCATCGTCCAGCGAGAGATCTCCAGCACGAAACTTCACAAACCACTTTTGACACGTTTGATCAGTCACAGCACCTTGTCCATACACTGTACAAATCCTTTTTTGCAATTCGGTTGTGTGTGTGTGTGTGTGTGTGTGTGTGTGTGTGTGTGTTTTCTGGTTGTGTTTTTACCTTTCTTGAAATAATAGAGCATAATATGCCGAAAATGCTTTTTTCCTTCCATCTTCAATATTAAAATGGCTACACAAAAATTCACCAATTTTGATGTCTTTTTTTAAATGCACGCTGATATGACAGCTGTCACATACAGTCTAACAAAATTGTTTCGAATGAAGTTAAAGACCACTAAGTGCTGCTAGAGGCACCTTATGGAAAAAACCAAAAGAACCTTTGGCCCACCCAGTACTTGCCCCAGGTCCCAGCTAATGATAGCTTATCAAGGGAGTGGTGAGGGGCCTGCCCCTCTACTGGTTTCCCTGGTAACTAATGAGCCCACCTGAAGTCAATTCCCCTATAACTGGTAATCCCTCTTTCCCCGAGGAAGTGGAGACGCCACCCTGTCCTGCCCTCGGTCCACTGCACACAGTGGGGTGTTGCTCCAGGATCTTGCTTCAGACGTGTAAGCTCCCCCATCCATTAAACTATCGATGTCTCTGTTGCTGACTCCGGGCTCTTCTGTCTTGAAGCTGAGCAAGCACAGGGCTTGTAGGCCTGCGGGGTGCAGCCCAGCAGCTTCACATATATTGACTCGTTTGATGCTTCCAACAACTTCGTGAAGGTAATGTTGTTTGTTATTATGCTCAAGTCGACAGATAAGGAAACCAAAGGAGTGGACAGGAAAGCAACTTTGCCAAGCACACCTGGTAAAATTACTACCTTTAATCTGTTTTACTAGAATATATTGAAAAGGAGTAAGCCAAAGAAAAAACCTTGAGGCACTCAAGAGGCTTTTCTTAAATACATTTATTAAGCTTTGAAACTTCAGTTTTCACCAAATGGGAGGATGAGTCTGTCCTGCTGGGCTTTAAAAATAGACATTCTTCTCCAGGAAGATGTCCATCCTAGCCCACATCTTTTCCCAGCATGGACCAGATCCATCCCAACTTGTTCTCACAAGTAATTATCCTTCCCCCAAATCACACAGCTAACTGTAATGTTCTCTCCGAGGACCACCTTACCGGTGGGATGGATTCCACTCTAATGGCTGCATCACTCATGTTGATGCATTACAAATTTAATTCAAATGAGAGTTGAATCCATAGAAATATCACTTATGACGTCTTTCATCAGCCACAGTTTTACCTGATTAATCTGAGTCCTCAACTTCTGAATTAATTGAACTGACAGGCATCCAGCATTGATGCTGATCAAATCAGGAGCTTTTTCATCTCCTCAAGTCCACCTGTCCTCTGCGGCTGCTTACCATCCCTGGCAGACACCTTGTCTTTCATGTAATCACATGACTCTTCAGAATCACGCATGCCGTCAGTTCATCCCATCATTTTCTCAGCACTCTTATTTTGTACGATTCCACAGTAATCCTAAACTTCTCGTAGGTAGCACTGGGAATATTCTCATGACATTTTTTTTTGTTTTTCTCTTTTTTTTTCTCTTTATTTTTTTCTCATGACTTTTGAACTTAGTAGACACGACGAGGTTAAAATGTTCATAGAGAACCTCAGAAACAGGAGGAACCAACAGGACTGCACGTTGCCACCGATGCTATCTTTTGTTCTTGGACATAATTAAGTTTTCATTTAAAAACTTTTGCTTTCATCACATCTGTAAAAATAGAGGCTTTTGTACATGCTACTCTCAATGTCTGTACAACCTAAACTGCCTTACGGTGCAGAAATGGATCCTTCATCCATGAGCTGAGGAAGGATTTAGAGCTATCACATGATAGCACGACCCTGCCTGGGATCACGCAGGCAGAGCTTGCACAAATCATAAATTAAGAAATGTGTATACACACGTATGCATATGCATTTGTATGTGTACATCTATATGTGTATACATATAGGTGTATGTATATGCACGCACATGTGTGTTTGTATGTATGTGTCTCTGGAAATTGAAGTCCCTAAATCAGTGCTGTCTAATATAATGTGACCCAACATGGATTTTAAAATTTTCTAGAAGCCACACTTTAAAAAATAAGAAGGAGCAGGAGAAATTCATTTGAATAGCCTTTTATTCAACCCAGTATATTTAAAACATAATTTCAGCATGCAATTAATATGAGCAAATTGTTAATAAACTATCTTACATTCTTTTCTTTGTACCAAGCGTTCAAAATCTGATCTGTGGAAATTGAATCTGCGTTTAGATTTCATAAAATTTAGGGTTGAAAAAATAGATTCATATACCCAAGTTGTCCCGAACATACTTAGAAGTTATCAATAATTGAATTGAATAGCAAGCTTTAAATTTTAAATTAATTAAAATTAATTAAAAATCCAGTTCCTCAGGAGGACCAGCTACATTTCAATTGCCATGTGTGTCTGGTGTGTTGGATGGCAAAGCTCTCATAGTTCTATTGACGTCGAACTTAGAAAGGAAAGAGTTGTGTTGGAAAATAGATACTACTTGTAGCAGTCAGTGTGGCTGACAGAAAACTACAGAAAAAAAAACTACAGCGTCCCAGAAGGTAAAACACAGAGCTTTAAGGAGAGAATAATCAACAGTGTAAAATGCTGCAAAAAGATCAGGAATGATGACTGAGGAAAACTCTTTAGACTTGTTTCCTATAAGTTGATTTTTGAAAGAAATGGTGCAGGCAAAAAGCAGCCTGCAAACGGTTGAGGGATTAGGTGGTGAAGAAATGAACGCACCTAAGTGATGATTACTGTCTTTTTATTAGGGAAAACTGACGTTGGTATTCTTTGGTAGATAATCACATAGAAAAATTGCCCATTGTGGGGTGTATAGTTTCATGAATTTTAAGGCATGCATAGATTCATGTAATGACTACCACAGTTGGGATACAGAACAACTCCATCATTCCCCAAACTGACTCACACGACTGCTTTAGAATCACACCCTCCCAGCACTGATCACTCCCCACACTATAGTTTTGTCTTCTCAAGAATGTCTTATGGATGGAATCATACTGTGTGTTTTCATACTGGCTTTGTTCACTCAGCATAATGCCTTTGAAATTCATCCAAGTTTTTGCATCCTCAATAGTTCATTCTTTTTCATTGCTGAGTAACATTCCACAGGTGAGCGGACCACAGGGTTATCCATTGACCAGTTGTAGGGCATGTGGGTTGTTGCCAGTTTCTGGTGGTCGTGAAGAGAGCTGCTGTAAACATTTTTTTATCAGTTTTTTCTTCAATGAACACAAGTTTTCATTTCTCTAGGGCAAGGGTTTGC